AAAGGACAATTGTTGCTGTCCTATATGATATTTGTCCGAAATATCACATCCTAGTTTATACTGTGTTTTCGGTTATAGAGCTCGTAAATTAAAATAAGATCTATGTATACTAAACTCAATGATCCTTTGAGTAAACTTATTCTTAAAGGTTATCCACTTAACACAGTATTAAAATTTTTAAATATTGCTTTATGGGTACTAACATTGTTTTTTCTTATGCTGTACTGTTACACTACTGTCCCAGGTTAAGGTAGGATTGAGCGCTCACTAACAATTTCAACCCCATCACATTCTTTATGTGCCTGTCCCAAGTCAGGAGCCTGTAATTTAGTGGTTGTCGTCGGTCATGTTTGTCATATTTGTTCTTCGTAAAGTATATTTTTATTAAATTAGGCTTGTAATTTTTTCGTTTGGATTGTTTGACATTTTTCATGATGGGGCCTTTTAAAGCTGACAATACAGTAAGTATTTTTCTCATTGTTGAAGGTCGTACGGTAACCTATAATTGCTTATGACCAATTCATTTGAACTCTTGATTGCAAGTTGTATCAGTGGCAATCATACCATATCTCCTTATTTTTATACTATATGGCGATCTTGTTTTGATGATCACCAAAACGCAGAAAATGGTAAAAATTGTCATATGGTTCATAAGTGTTTCTCGTTTTTTATGAAGATTAGACCGTTGGTTTTCCTGTTTTAATTGTTTTACACTAGTCTTTTTGGGGCCCTTTATAGCTTGCTGTTCGGTGTGAGCCAAGGCTCCGTGCTGAAGGCCGTACTTTGACCTATAATTGTTTACTTTTTACACATTGTGACTTGGATGGATAGTTGTCGCATTGGCTATCATGCCACACCTTCTTATTTATATTTAAGGGTATCTACTACTATTAAGAGCTGACAGACAATTTGAGCCATGTTGACTTATAAGTCGATCTTGTTTTACTGATCATTTACTATTTAAATTTCTATCTTTCTATTATAATTTTAAAGATAATAGGCAAAATGGAATACTTTTGGTAATTTAAATATTGTCAGTTAAGGGCAATGACTTCTAACAATTTTGGCCATTCAAGGCGACTCATTTGTAGATTTTGTCTTGCTGATGATTTTTATTTTTTAAAAGTTCTATCTATCTTTTATAGTTTTCAAAATTGTAGGTAAAAATGCACACAAAAACAAAAAAAAAACGTCATTAAAGGCACTATCTCTTTTAGATATTTTGACCATTAGTTTATTTGTAGATCGCAGTTTATTTTTGCTATTGACAAAAATGAAAACAAGAGTGCACAGAAACGCTGAAATGTCTCATCTGCTTTACTTATCCTGATTGAATTTATGCTGAAAGTCTGTAATATGGAGGTTTTACTATAATTTTCAAATAAAATTAACATCATCAATGATAATTGTAAATCACGTCAAAGTCAGATGAACGCTGCCAGGCAGACATGAACACCTTACAATTGTACCATAACCAAAAAATAGTTAAACTATTGCTGGTTGTATACCGAGGAACAGACCCAATTACGAAAACTGAAATATGACCATTGAACCTTGAGGTCAAGGTCAGATGAGTAATGACAGATAAAATGTACACCATGTAATCATTCCATACACCAAATATAGTTATAGCCTATTGCTTATAGCATTTGATAAACCATGGAAGTAATATTACTTCCATGGATAAACTGACATGAAAACTTAACATTGACCAATGAACCATGACAATGAGGTCAATGTGTACATGTAACAATCATTCCATACACAAAATATAGCTGACCTGTTGCATATAATATCTGAGATACGGAGTTGACCACATAAACTTAACCTTAATCACTGATCCATGAAATGAGGTGGCGGTCAGGTGAATCTTGTCTGATGGTATATGACTGATTATATAAAAAAATACCCCAGTTTAGTTAATTTAAACAGAAATGATCTTTTTACATGGATCATGAGTAATGAAGATAGCAGTTTTTTATCTATTTTATGTGCATACCTTGATAAAGGCCTGCAACTTAGAAAATCAGAAAGTTAGTTAAATAGATAGCAAAATTATCTCCCCTTGACCACCGACCCTTTCCTCGTGCATTTGAACTATTATTTTATGTTTCTTTAATCACTCTGTAATGTTTATATCATGTTGTTATTAATGTTATGCTCTTAATGGGCCCTTTAATTTGGAAAAATAAAATATTGTATTGTATTGTAATGTAGACTTTGCTAGGAACCCATATACCAAATATAGGTATCCTATTGTTGATAATAAGTGTGAAATTCACATTAAAAAAATAATAGAAGATTTTAAACAAACATGAGGTCAGGGACAATGGACATATGATAGGCAGAAATTTTATAACATATATTAAGGCATCTGCATACAAGGTCTTCTACCTTCTGAAATATAAAGCTTTAAACAAATAGTGTACACTGTCACTGCTGCTGCCAGATAGTCATCCCCTCTACTTTCATCGAAGGTGAGAAAAAGAAATGGTAAAATTCAGCATTAAGGGCAATAACTCCAATAAGGAGGGGAGTAAACAGATTCAATTTGTTATATTTCATTATTCTGAAGATTTCTGTCCAGTCAGCTTGTCGCTATCTAAAATGGTTTCCAAGATAATTGACAAAACTTGCATTTTATCCACATGTTCCATTATTAGCCATGTCTGCAATGTTGGTTGGCAAGAGAATTATCGGACACAATTTTGGAACCAAATACCCCAATGATGATTGTGGCTGTTTGATTCCATTAGGCCCAGTAGTTTCAGAAGAGAAATTTCAAAAAAGCTTACCGATGACAGTTCCAAGTGATGAACCTTAAAGTTTAAGCAAGACTCATACCTTTTTTTTTAATTTTTCCTGGATTGAAATTTTGTACATATGTTTTATGGGCATTGCACAAAATTGTCTCATCCTGTACTGTTTTTATCTGAAATCTTTAAGAAGTACAGCAACTGATATTAGAGTGTAGGATTGATTGTTTTAATATTAGCTGGTTATTTACATTGAAATTGCTTTCACAGTAACTGCAAGCATTCTTTAATATGATATAGTTTATTGCTGTTGTTATTGTTTTGTATTCATATCATCTGTTATAATAGTATCATAGAGGGTCTGGATTGGGGGGGTCCTCCAATTCTGTATTCTTTATTTTTTATAAGCAGTTTTTCTATATTCTTTATAAATTTTGCCCATTCTTTAATTTAAACACCCCATTTGTCTCTTATCTTATTATGTTTAAGCTTATTTTTTTCTATTCTTTTTTTTTTGGCTTATTTTTCTGTAGTATTGGCCCTTGATTCTCTATTCTGTAAAACCCATCCAGATCCTCATTATTCTGTAGTATTGGCCCCTGATTCTCTATTCTGTATACCCCATCCAGATCCTCATTTTTCTGTAGTATTGGCCCCTGATTCTCTATTCTGTAAACCCCATCCAGATCCTCATTTTTCTGTAGTATTGGCCCCTGATTCTCTATTCTGTAAACCCCATCCAGATCCTCATTTTTCTGTAGTATTGGACCCTGATTCTCTATTCTGTAAACCCCATCCAGATCCTCATTTTTCTGTAGTATTGGCCACTGATTCTCAATTCTGTAAACCCCATCCAGACCCTCATTATAGACCAGTATTGTTAAAATAACCATGTAGTTTCAGAGAAAATGATGGAAATGTTTTCTGAAACGGTTCCAATAGAACCAATCAACATCAAATTAGGTTTGTTTGAAGAGGGTCTCTAAATCATCAGTCTTGTAAAGTTTTAAAACATTTCACTTGTAGTTCCAGAGATTTTTGAAAAAATCCCAATCAGAAGCAAACATAGCCATTCATCATCATTTTTTTTGTCTGATCAAAACTAAATGAAGATTGTATGTTTGCAGAGAACCTTCCATATTTTGCCATTATGAGTTTCGAAATAATTGGCAAATGTGGTTTCAAAGAACATAATGAAAATGTGACTTCCCAGAGTTTCAATATACATATATCAGTTAATGCAAAGTTATCACAAATTTAGACATATACAATAAATATTTATACTGCAACTATGCAATTTGCGCAGTCAAGTTGCATTGATCATATATTTATTGACGTTGATAAGATAATACGTTTGAGTAGAGTTTTATTTATGACGTCAATAAAGACAGGTTCACCGAATTTTGAAGTCATTCGCTTCAAATTTAAAATTGATAGTTTTTTACCCAAAATATTTCATTTGGATCAGCTGTAAGAGTTGCAGTAAAAGAGAACAACCAAACATTGTCCTGAAATATTTTAATTTTTAATTTTATTGAAACTAAGCACTCACATTCTACCAGTTTCAGCCTTGTACAAATAAATTCTATATTTTGAGACAACATATAGTTACTGTATTCTATATATCTATATAGCTGTGACTGCATTGTAAGTATTTGTCATTGTTAACAACTGACAAAATAGCTGAACTGCAAGGTATTCCACCTACACACTATCATACAGCTTACTCTGTGTTACAACTGATGAGAAAAGGCATCACTATCGACATCTATATTTTATTCTCTAGTTGACAGAGTGTTTTAGGTCTCCCAGCACTGTGCATAGACAATTGCAAAGATGTCACAGAAGCATGGGTTCAAATCCTACTGAGAGAAGGTACCGAAATGAGGACCCCAAATTGAACTGTGTTGTAAACAGCAATTTGAACATTACTGTTCACACACAACAGAAGCAGGGTACCAGGAGAACATAAACATATAATAGATGTTTATGGCTATTTGTTATCTGACCTCCTGTATTTGTATAGCTGAAAGGTCAATTGCAGCAGAAACATATTGAGACATCATTTTTTGATAATAATGAAAATTGAAATTGTAAAGGTTTTAATTAGATAAAGAATTCATAATCATGAACTCTCTATGTTGGTAAATATTTTGTTCAGATATTAGTTCCTCTGTTTTTTAAAGGCTACAAAAAGATCAAAGATATTTGGGCAAACTTTTCAAAGGCAAAGTTTAAATCAAATTGTTTAGACAAATAACATTTAATACATTAATTACATATAAAATAAACAAATGAAAAACTATCTTTGATTCATTATGCTAAGTTCCTCTTGCTCTCGGTTAGTTGACATAATTCCTTGTAAACCAGATAAAAACTTATTAAAACTGTCTCTAACAGCTTCCCCATCTTCTTCTATGTTTGTCTGTACTACTGATAAATTGCTAAATGATCCAGCTGAAACAGACAGAAAATAATTAAATAACCCAAAATGTATGTAAATTTCAGAAAATCATGGTATTCAAATTATTGACAAACTTTACTCTAGATGCCTTTTTTGCATTATTGGGTGTAGTTTCATTTTTGTATATTTCGTATCTCCTTTTTTATAATTAATCAAATTTCTAATGGAAGGTTTTGGACCACTTAAGACAGGTAAAGTTCAATGTTTTTGGTTTTTACTTTTACTGTACCAGAGTAATGGTACTTGTTTGTTGGAAAATTTTTATGTTTCCAGATGAGACCATACATTTGAAACTGCTTTTTGAAATGAATTGAAATTTTGATGGAATGTTTTGGACAACTAAAGACAGGTTAAGTTTTAGAGTTTAGTGCTTTCACTTTTACCATTTCTGAGTAATGGTTCTAAATTGTTTGAAAATTTTTTTTTGGTTTCCAGATGATAAATAGAGAACTACTTTTTGAAATCAATTTAAATCTAAATGGAATGTTATGGTACACCAAAGAGGTTAAATTTGAATTTCGTATTTTTTCACTTTTACTGTTCCCGAGAAATGGTACTTGATTATAGAAAAGATTCAAATGTGCTTATATTAATTTTTTCGGCAACTGAGGTCATAAAAAACTTAATGTTTAATTGAGACTTGATTTATGTCCAGCAAAAACTATTACATGAAAATTCCAATGCAAAAGGTTTCAGTCTATAGAAAGACCTGTCTTATTACTGTCATATTACTCACAAAATATTTATTATAACTGAAAAGTTACCAGAATTTGCCCTTACTATAAATTCCCTGTGTTTTTTTCAAGACATCTTCTCTGCACTCAATGAGACAACTGATAAATATGCTTTTATGAGTCATGTGACCAAATGATCAAATCATTGATCAAATCATTTACAAATGCTACTTACAGAGTTCTGTGCGCTCTCTGTCGGAGGCACCAGGTTTGTGATGTGCAAATACAGCACATTGACTGTCTTTTAAACCCTGATTCTGTACAAAACACTCATGCCTGCAAAATAACATCACTATATATATGTTCTCACAAAGATATTTAGTTTTAAATTACATATTTTGGTGTTGAATCACTCTTCAAAGTGTTCGCAGGTGGTCTAAATTGATAATTGCTGTAATAGTTATAATTTAAAATAGTTTTACAGAATATTCAAAGAAAAGATTTTTTCAGGTTGATTGATGTGATTGTATATTCTTAGCATTATAGAATCAAACACTTCAGAACTGATGTGTAAACACACTGGAACACTTCACTCATAACCAAGTTAAAGTCTGTAAACCTTATAATTCTTCAGCTACTGGTATTAGTTTTTTAAACAACTGTTGATTGTAAAAAAAAGTTAACATGCTTTGTATGTGTAATGTGAATGCTGTTTATATTGGTTATAAAAGTACTCTGGTGAACACCATCTATGAAAAAATAAATTGTCACAAAAATCATTACCAGAAGCACTTGTCACCAATCAAAGTTTAAGATTTCTAAATGAATCCTAATTATGTATGTCCTGTAAGAATTACTGATCTTCAACTGAACTGCCTTGTGCAAACTTTATGAAGGATAAAAGGTGTATTTTTTTTATAAAAGTTAGGGTCACTATAGATTAACAAATATACTGAAGAATTCTTTTTATATCATATTTGTAAATCAGTTCATTTGAAAGGAAAAAAGTCGAAAGTATATATATATATATGCCATACTATTTCCACAACCTGTCATTTAAGTCACTTTGGGTAGCAAGCATTAACTAGGTAAAACTGAATAAAAATGTATTGAATAGTTATTGTCAGAATTTATTTTGCTTCACATTTATAAAAACAGGTATGTCAACAGATGTTCCATGCATTTAATCAGCTGCTGTCATTCTTCACTGAATTTTTTTTTTAATCATACTTGAAATTGTAATAAAAATAATTTATATGCCATTCATTAATCCTCTGGTTTTGTCAAATACAAACATGAAAATTCTGTAATTCAGTCATGTTTTTCCCCATACTTAAAATTTAAAAAAAAATTGTATCACTTTGATTGTGCATTTTGCCAGTAAATTTAGTAAAATCAAAGCTTTAATAAAAAAAAAAAAACAAAAAAAAACCAATTAAATGTGGAACACCTTGAAGAACAAATAATAACTTGAAAAGTTATGCATTTTTGATGTATTAAACAGAGATTTATATTAACATTCATTTTGAGTTATCTCCCTTTAACACTGAAAACTCTAAGACTCAGTTTCACCAGTGTGTTAGAAATTTATTGATCTACATAGGTTCTAATCTTGACTGATGACAACTAGCCTAGTATTTACATTTTATGAATTTACAACTTACCATTTTGCTAAATCTTGTCCATGATTTGACTGATCAGGGTTATATACAAATAAAACTCCATTGGTATCCTTTGCTATTGCTGGCCAACATGACTCAAATCTACAAACAGAATATGGCTCAAGTGAATGCATTTTGTTAAAATAACAAGTATTGGTAATCAGGTTTTCATCAAAAGCTGTGGGTGCATGTTTGCTACTGTGATAGGCATAGTTTTTAATGCAATTTTGTAAAAGGGCCAGTTTGTTGTTGTCTGAGATTCTTATGGGTCGAGTCATCAGGGAGTCGAGTGGAAGTAGTAGGCATAAAATCCAAAAATTGGTGGGAATGACAGAAAGGACATCCGAAATCATTTATTTTTTCCAAATTATTCCCCCCAACTAACCAAAAATTTATAAACATTAGAGTAGATAACAAACTACAGTTTGCATACTACCTATAGGGTGCATAGTCAAATTGAATAATTTGATCTGGAAGAAGGAGAAGCGACACACAAAAACCGTTCTCCTCATTTGGTTTTATAGATGAGCCTAAATTTTTGTATATCATTGAAGAAAACATCTATTACAAACTATATTATTAATAAATGAGTTATCTCCCTCAATCCAGATCCCCCTCCTCACCTAAAACACTGCTTTCAAAAATTTGTAAAATTCATGATGCTATACATGTATAGTGATTTGTTTTCTGATTACATGATCTATTATGGCTCACATGGTCTTCTGTTTCTTTAACCTCTACACCAAATCTCCTTTTATTTATTACAGATGCCTTAACTAAACCTATTTTTGAAAGTGTAAATTATTTGGTATGTCAATCTAATACAACAAATAAAGTCTTACTTTTTGTCACCACTGACATCCCATAACTCCACTTCTATGTTCTGTCGACTGTTGAAGTTGTTTGTTTCAAATTCTAAAATTCTGAAAGAAGAATACTTACAATATTTCAAAATGTTGGATAATAACAAGTCAATCAATCTATTCAAAATTCAAAATCATAAAAACAATTGATATTGATATCAAAAGTTAAAACGAGGACAAATATCTGTAGAAAGTGTTGTTCTGAGTCTGGAATATGACTGTATTTTATTTTATGACTGTTTCATCTGTGGATGCATTTTGTGTCTCAAATTTATGCCAGTGATTTGATGGTACTATCATGGAGATAATCACATATATTTCATATTAAAAAAATTAAAACATGTTAACCATAAAATATTTGAGATCCACCCAAAAAAATCAAAAAATCTAATATTTTAGTTAAAAAATTAATTTCAAGAAAAAATCCAACATGATATCTATACAATAAGTTGTGAGGAAAATTTCAAAGTATACCAAGTAAACCTGCTTTCAATTCAATCAATTGAATCATTCATGCTATGACATATATTCTCGAAAAACATGGTGGACAGTAAGCTATTGCTAACTAAAGATAAGTATTAACACACAAAATTCATGAAACTTGATGGATGGACACATGGAATTATTTGGGAACAGTGATTAACCAGTATAATAATGTGCCATATTGACAACCTTTCACACACTGTTTTAAAATAAATAAAATCTATATGAATATAAATTTAAACCATTTGCTTAAAAGCTAACAATTATAATATTGTACAAGTTTTTATTTCATTACTGAGCATCATGGCATGGCAACCCAACAGTTAATACATGCATGTATAAGTTACACCGTTGTCCAAGGTTATGGAGTGGGTGAAGCACTTTAAAACAAGCTAATAACATACCACATCTTCTTATTTTTTATAAAAACTCAGCCACATTTGTATGTGAATATCTCAAGCCAGAAGCCTGCATCCAGTAGTTGTTAATGGTTCCTGTTTCCTATAACTATTCTTTCTGGTATAATGTAAGCTTGGATCAGGTTTTTTTTCCTCTCATTAGAATTGATTCACTTTTTTTTATCCAAGAGTCTTTTATAGATTACTATTGTGTATTGGCTTTGTTCATTGTTGAATGCCATATGGTGGCCTGTAGTGTTATATTTATCTTGTTAATACTGGTTAATGAAATCATAACAGTGTGTACTGGCTGGTCATAATTGTGTATGCTATGATTTTGACACACCTACATAGCTATTGAATATGCAGAACTTTATAGGTAAGATCAGCATGTGTAGCCAAAAACTGAGAGTTGTATATTTGTTTCATAAATGTATATATGTAGCTTAAAGAATAGAAAATAAGAACAGAAATATAGTTATTAATTATTAAAAGCCAAGCCAGTAAAACACAGATCTATTAGTACTGATTTACATCCTTGTTCTTTGGTCTTTTGTGGATAGTTGTCTCATTTACATATACAAACAAATGTAATTATATATACATGAATAAAGATATGCAATTGTATCACCCAAAGTTGACCGTAAATGAAATTTTACATTCTAATTACACATTTTAAGTTTTTATTCTCTCAAATGGTTAATAATTTTTTCTTATTGTAAGCTCTGAATAACACCAAGATTATACCTGCATCCCTGTGTTGGATGGTATTCCCCACTCGAAGTATCTGTTGCATCTGCCAAAAAGTTCGATAACACAGTTTTACCACTCTGTAAAATAAAAATAAATAATTGATCAAGATCTTCTTTTACAAAATATATATACATAAATTGTGTGACTTCATAAATCACTAAAATCTGTAATGGGATTAAGAGTCTCTGTGTGTACTGTATGTCTGTAAAATATAAATATACACAAAGTCTATTAATTTTCTCATTTGAATTGTTTCACATTTTGTCATATTGGGGCAATTTAAAGCTTTCTATATGATTTGTCTTTTTACTTATTGTGGAAGGCCAAATGTTGACGTATAATTGCTTATGTTATAATTATGTACTTTGGTTCCTGGTGAAGAGTTGTCTCATTGGCAATCATACCAAATCTCCTTTTTGTATATACTAAAGTCTTGATTGGCCCTTCCAGTAATCAAAGGGTGTCAATATAGTTTCACATTGTATAACAATCTATATGATTTTTAAATATGAAGTAGATTAAGATGAGATCTTTGAAAACCCATAAAATAAAATATCAATTACCATGCTTGTTTTTGAGAAAAATGAGGTTACCATTTTTTTTTTCCTTTTTGTCGAGCCTTCGACTTTTGTCGAAAAAGCGAGACATAGCGATCCTACATTCCGTCGGTGTCGGCGGCGTCCACAAATATTCACTCTGTGGTTAAAGTTTTTGAAATTTTAATAACTTTCTCAAACTATCATGGATTTCTACCAAACTTGGACAGAAGCTTGTTTATGATCATAAGATAGTATCCAGAAGTAAATTTTGTAAAAAAAAAATTCCTGTTTTTCCGTATTTTACTTATAAATTGACTTAGTTTTTCTGCCAGGAAACATTACATTCACTCTGTGGTTAAAAGTTTTTAAAATTTTAATAACTTTCTCAAACTATCCTGGATTTCTACCAAACTTGGACAGAAGCTTGTTTATGATCATAAGATAGTATCTAGAAGTAAATTTAAAAAAAAAAAATCCTGTTTTTCCGTATTTTACTTATAAATGGACTTAGTTTTTCTGCCAGGAAACATTACATTCACTCTGTGGTTAAAGTTTTTAAAATTTTAATACCTTTCTCAAACTATCCTGGATTTCTACCAAACTTGGACAGAAGCTTGTTTATGATCATAAGATAGTATCTAGAAGTAAATTTAAAAAAAAAAAAATCCTGTTTTTCCGTATTTTACTTATAAATGGACTTAGTTTTTCTGCCAGGAAACATTACATTCACTCTGTGGTTAAAGTTTTTAAAATTTTAATAACTTTCTTAAACTATCCTGGATTTCTACCAAACATGGACAGAAGTTTGTTTATGATCAAAACCTAGTATCTAGAAGGAAATTTTTATTAAAATTTTGTACTTGTTTATCCATATTTTACTTATAAATGGACTTAATTTTTCTTCCAGTTAACATTAGATACAGTCTGCAGTTAAATTTTTTAAAACATTTATTAGATTCATAAACTATCCTGGATTTTTACCAAACTTGGACAGAAGCTTCTTACAATAAAAAAATTGTATAGAGAGGAATATTTTTATTAAATTTTTTCCTCATCTCATTTTTGTTGAGTCTGCCATTAACAGCAAAAGTAGGCGAGACACTGGGTTCCGCGGAACCCTTACGAATTTTTAATGAAATTCACCTTTTAATAGTATAAATTTAATCAGATAACAACATTCTCTGAATGTCAATTTTGGACTTTCATTGTTCATAAAAAATCTATTTTTTTAAAGATACATTTTTCAAATGTTTGAAACCATACCCAGAAAAAATTTAAGAGAGATCTAGAACTACATCAAAAAGTAGTTTGAAAAAAGTGCAGAATCTGATTGATGTTTCAGTAGATTATATTGCCTTAAAATGGAGATTTCAATCTCTTTTGCATCATATTATGTCTCTGGTGATAGCAAACATATAAATTATTTTATCAATTTAATTTTGAAAACAAGAATGTGTCCATAGTACACGGATGCCCCACTCGCACTATCATTTTCTATGTTCAGTGGACCGTGAAATTGGGGTCAAAACTCTAATTTAGCATTAAAATTAGAAAGATCATATCATAGGGAACATGTGTACAAAGTTTCAAGTTGATTGGACTTCAACTTCATCAAAAACTACCTTGACCAAAAACTTTAACCTGAAGCGGGACAGACGGACAAACGGACGCACAGACTGAAAAACATAATGCCCCTCTTCTATCGTAGGTGGGGCATAAAAATATGTAATGCTATATATATTTTGATAGTTTGAAATGTATGTTTTTTTTTAATAAACAAGTCAGCTTGGAATGAGTTCAAGCAATGATGTAAGAATTGTAAGACATTAAAGGGAAATTGTTTTCGCCGCTTGGCTTCTTTGATCTCAAGGTGTTGAGTGAGTTGGATCTTGTTATACCTGTTTGGATTGTTTTGAAATTGTTACAAGGTTTCAAAAAAGATAAATTCATCCAGATAACTTGGTCTCCAGTTCCTGAACACTTCTTCTTCTTCAAAATACTGTCCACATTCAACATGATGAATATTCTGGCAAGAATATTCAATGCAAATCAAAAGAAAAATAATTATCTGGTGGTATCAATACAACATAAATATTTCAGCGGAATTTTCAACAAACTTTAACATTATTAATTCAAATAATTTATATTATTCAAGACAACAAAATAAAATAGAAATCAGGGCGAACAGATTCAGTGCGAACAGGAATTAGGGCGAACGGACTCAGGGCGAACAGGTACTAGGGCGAATGCAAATCAGGGTGAATGGACCCGGATTCACTGATATGCTGAGCCAGATTTTTAATGTGCTAATTACAAGGTGACAGTCCTCAGGAAGGCATTTATCATCACCTAACCGGGACACATTATTTTAACTCAGAGCCGACCAGTCTTTGCTCTTACTTCTAAGTCGATAAGCAGCAAATACCAATTTTCAGGTCATTGGTTTGACCCCGCCATGGTTGGAACCCACAACTCCTGCATTTGATTGATTGATTGATGGTTGCTTAACGTCCAGTGGCAAATTTTTCATGCATGTTCAGGACAATCCCACAGTATTTGAGGCGAGTGCGCTATCACGAGACCAGAGACGGTTCAAAAGTTGACAATGTAGGTGAGCTGACAATTTAAGAGACAAAGTGGCAGACAAGTTAAAAAAAACTTTCTGGGGCTCATCTGGTAGCACCTGTCAATTATGTATTGACTATTGTATTTTAATAGCCCCTGAAGACCTTATTTGGAAAAATAAATAATTTCCAGAACTTAGGTTAAAGCTGAATTGTTGTAAAACTTGCCTCGCAAGGTCCAACTACAAGAATTTTTACTTTAAACATCATTTTACTGCAGTTGACTTAATTTCTTATTCAGTGGTGGAAGGAATGTGTACATCTCGCTAAGGAAGTGGAATGGAAGCGCCACCTGGGAGATCATTGTGAATATTTGATAATTTTCTAAATTTTGAGATAGTTAGGAATTTTCCCGATAAAAAATCAATACGATAATCATTCAACGTTCGCTCATACAATCATAAGATTTGGAAATATAGCATAATAAAGTAACATTTTTTTACGACACACACCTTTTACGGTTTGTTTGATCACGTGATGTTAAATTTTCAGATTGAAAGCCGCAAAAGTTATATCATGCTGAGTCTTGTAAAAAGTTGATTTTTCCACTATATCATTAATTGTCACATATGTTACAAGGTACTTTATATGTAGTGAACTATTTTTTTGCATGTTTATGTTGCTGATGAATGTATTGTAAAGGATTTTTTTAGTGAAAAAATTCTTGTAAATTTAAAATTTTGATAAAAGAGGGTGCATGGTGTCAAGGGTTAATATGAAACATTGTTACCTTTGAAGGAGTACAAAATTTACGGTTCAGATCAGTTTCGCAGAGCGCAGTGCCTGTGTAAGCGTACTTTCATTCTGCCGTGTTTTTATTCCAGGTAACTGTTTTTCACTAGAGAATATTAGATGTAAATAGTGTGAAAGCGTCAATTTGATATCATTGTTTTGTTTATACAAGACCGGTTTATTGTTTACATAAATAAATGGTTTAAAATTAAAAAGATTTTCAAGGAACCAGTTTCATTAATCTGAGTCAATCTACATGATCTAGTGGTAGTGTAGTAAATAATATTGATGATGATGATGAGGAGGATATTTTTATAACTCAAAATACTTTATCAATGATCAGCAGCCAGTTGTACGAACGTGTCATTAGTCTAATGAGTCATTAAGTCTTCATTAGCCTAATGCATCATAAAGGCTTAATGAAGACTTAATGGCCCATTAGGCTAATGCCACGTTCGTACAACCGGCTGCAGGACATTGAACTTGATACAAACCAAATTTAAAGAGCAGACATGTTTCTACATAAAGTTTCAATTACAGAAGCATCATTTGATATTGACATAGAAGATATTATTTAATATCCAAGTCGACCGAAAAGCAAATACAAAGAAAAAACTTTGGCAATCCTATAAATATTAAAATTAGTGACAATTTAAAAGCATATGATTTTATAGATTTGCATAGAAAAATTATTTAAATCTCATTCGTTAATAAGCATTATTGTGTTATCGTGTGTTCAAAATGAGTACTAATCACTTCATCAATGAATGGATCTAAAGCACTAGTGTAATTAATCCCGCCGGATATAAAATAACTAGTGCAATCATTCCGGTACAAAATCACTAGTGTAATCATTCCTGGTTCAAAAACACTAGTGTGAACATTCCTTGGATGAAAACTCTCCACTTTTTATATAAATCAGCTGTGCAATTTTTAAATACACTAAAAACTATTAAGCCACATAATTTATCAGTGTTCCCGCCTGCCCCAAATAGAAGGGCGGCCCGCCCTTGGTGCCCTTACCCCCGCCCTTCTGCCCTCCAAAGTAAAAGAATGCACCCCTCTGCCTTTTCAAAAAATTAAAATTTCCAAATTCCTGCCTACCGGTGTTTCCGGTAAAATTGTTACCTGATTGTGTAACACTAATTAACTGACAATGGGATTAAGTTAAATACCTAATGCTTTGGCAGTTTTATCACCTTTGTTTATGATTGTTTACTGCTAATTAGTGGATTTAAGATAATTGAACAAATACTAGATATTTAATACAGAATGAAATGTCCACATGTACATGTTATCCATTTGTAATGTTTATGTACAGCATGTACATCTGTAAAAATTTATTTCAGTAGGCATAACATAAAAAATAAAATCTTAAACAATTTTAAAGGCATACATAGTTTTGACTTAATTGGTAAAAAATGTTTTGTTTCATAATCAATCAGTATGAATCAAAGAAATTTGTACTTTGAACATAACAAGATTCACTTCCTGTTTTACTTCTTGTATTTTATAATCCTCCTGACATAGGAGCACTCAACAAATTTATTTTTAACAATGATGGAGAAAAAAGTAACTGTTTATACCTTCTGCAATATATTATTGCATCAATATAATATGATCATCTCCTGTCTCACCTGTTATAATTATAAAACTCCTTACTGTGGAGCACTTTGGTGTGAATGCACTTATAAATACTTTTTTGTAACAATTCAAATGATAATAAATAACTCTCAATAACATATATACTATATGTTTGAACAAGTAATTTAAATGTAGATAATTTAATTACATTAAACATTCAATTTTGCATGTTTAACTCCATCTTTCAAAACTACTTGTTTATTTTTATAGACTGGTATAAGTTATAAAACATTGAAATTTCTGATGATTATTTTCCTTACCAAATGTACAAGTTTGTTTGGATAAACATCAAAATGATATGCTTTGCTTCATGGTATGATAATTTGATAAAAAAAAAATTCTTACTGGAACCAACATCAAGAACGCATTAATTTCTGAATATGGTTTAAATACAACTAATGTTCTCCAGCTGAGCCTAGCAATATTCAAGGTTACTTTATACACTGTCCAACAGTGCCCTTAAAATCTGGGTTATAACGCTAAAGTGCCCTTTCAGACAACAAGCACCCTTCTGCCCTGAGATTCAAGCTGGAACACTGTTTATATATATTTCCCCTTCAAAAAAACCTTTTTAGAACCTTATAATGACTGGTGGATGTTTTACACTGGCCCCGGATAGAAAACCCTAGTGATTTTTTGTTGGTGGATAAAAATCACTGGGGATTTTCTTCCTCTGGATAAATTACACTGGCGGAATCAAACTACTGTTACATATGCCCCTTTTCCTTGTGATTTTGGTGCCTTGCTTTTTCATTGACCAATATCTAGATCTTTTTATATATTTAAGTTTAAGCAGTGGTAAAAATATGCTACAAAATGTATTTTACCAGCTCTGATTAAAATACCTTAATTACATGTAATGCCAGCAAAATGACATATTTTTATAGCAATGGATGTTTTGCTGGCACTGGCAATATAGTGAATTTGTTATTTTGCCTATTCTTTATAAAGAGTGAATTAAATATTTACTTTCGAAAGTACTATGAAAATGTGCATTGCTAAAATAAAAGAATCAAATTATTACTCATATATATATCAGTGTTCTAGGAATTTTATACAAATGCAAGGGAAAGTTATCAAAAATTCACTTTCCACAAGTTTAATGAACTCTCCCTGAATTTTATACTATTTTAAAATTGTTTTCATAATTTTGTTATTCCTTTTATCGCATGTTTATACATGAAGTTCCATTTGAAATATCGTCAAACATTATACGTAAAAAAACACGAATTTGAGATCCTGATATTAAATCTTTTACCGTTTGCGCTCCAGTTATTAGGTTTTTGCGTCTAGATTGGATGGATACTTGACATTGTGTATTTTCCTTGCTTAGCTGGCAAGCGTATTTCTGACAGTGATCGCGAAACACATGCGCACGTTTTTCTCCCCTAGACTTTAGAACCCGTGCATGATTTACACCAACAACAACGAAAGAATACAAACAGTTACATCGATCGTTTGATCTGTATGAATAGGAAGTTTCTGTATTTTAATTTTACAAAGGTTTGAATTTCCACTTTCCCGTGACCTAAATCAACTTGCCACGGTTGACGGGAATGGGGAATTCTAGAACAAGTTATATAAGTAACAATATTTGAGATACATGTAATCGTTAAAAAACATTTATGAGTCCAAGTGAAAATAAGAATTTGTAAAAAGACATAAAAATAAAAATATTGAGCATTCACTTGTAGCAATGACATCATATCAAAACATGAAGTTGAAATTACTTCTAAAATCAGTCACAGTCTATTGTTACATGTATGCATAAGAATAAAATCTCTGATTTTTTAACTGCATGTTGTAAAAAAATAAAAGTTAAAATCTCATTGCATATAAATTTGATAAAACATTATACAATCTAACAAAATCAATAACATAGCTTCAAAATCAAAAATGTTTAAATTACCTTTGCTTTTGAAATAATAGTCAGTTCTTTGAATTGCATACCTAAACAAAATAATTTTTTACTTGCAAAATTGGCTTCCACTTTCCTATAGCCAGCAAAATAGCATATTTTTTATGTTGCCTGTGCCAACAAAATAGCCACTGCCTTAAGTTTTAATACAATGGTTGACTTGAGTTCTATCAGAGTAAATGACGTCATTGTACAATAGACTCTTACATGTACTTGCATGAGCAACAAGACGGGTGCCACATGTGGAGCAGGATCTGCTTACCCTTCTGGAGCACCTGAGATCACCCCTGGGTTTTGGTGGGGTTCGTGTTGCTCAGTCTTTAGTTTTCTATGTTGTGTTTTGTATACTGTTGTTTGTCTTTTATTCATTGTTGTTTTTTGTTATGGCGTTGTCAGTCTATTTTCGACTTATAAGTTTGAATGTCCCTTTGGTATCTTTCGCCTCTTTTATTGTGGTGACATAATAATAACATAATCATTGTGACATTGGTAATTTTTATTAAAATCCATGATTGTGAAAGTTGTGTATTATGAAGACCTGAACTTTCACAACAACAAAATTTACAACTTTTGATCACCAATCTTTTTTTGGTTTGACAGCATATTTAAATACACTAAATTAATTTAAAAATTAATTGACAGATTGGGTGTCAAACAACCTTTCAATTAATGTCTCTTACCTAATTATATTAGTCCTAGCTTCATGTATTAATAGGTATAACTAAGAAAGAACAAACACCAATGCCTATGGACTACCATTCTTCCCAAAGACAATCGGGAATTTATGAACCAACTTCCTTCTAAAGTCCCCTCACTCAATTCAATTGAGGGATTTAGAGCTGCTCTGAAAGCATGCTTTGAAAGGCAGTAGTCAGCACATCCTATATATAGTGTTAATTTTAAAATTTGGAGAACATTTTTATTGTACATGTAAATAACTTCGAGAAGACTAGCTGTTTTGCACCGACAAAGTTTTTGGCAGAACCACATACATTCTACATTAAATTTGGTTCCTTATTTGAAAGAAGAAATAGCAGTTAAATAGGAGAAAGCATAATAATTTCTGGTCTTTTGTGTCTCAACATGTGACAGAGATATCTAGTCACAACTGGAGACTAAAATTTTCAATTGGAATTAGGGTTGGAAACAAGACAATGGAACAAGTTTTACCTGGGAAAAGTTGGTTTGATAGTTGGTGATGAAATGCCATGTCCTTGATCAAAGATTACAAATTTACCAGCTGTAAATTATAAGAGGTTATTTTAAACAATTTGCGTTGGAAACAGTGCAATTAAAAGGGAATAGATGCCTTAAAGATGCTTATTTTTTTTGTTCATTGTATATTGAAAGTGGAGTAAAAAACTTCTCTGAGATGGGAAGGTAGCAACAAAGTGACAACTATTGATTGATATAAACAAGTTTGTTCAATTACAAATTGACTGCATGGTTAATTGCTTTAATCACCAAGACACACATCACTCATGTTTACACAACTCTTAACGATTATCTAATCCAATTATCTAATTAATATGGTTAGTACATGTACACACCATTTTATGGAAAAGGCTTTTTGCATTTTTAAGCGTACATTTGTAATAGAAGTATGCCATTATGAGTAGAAAAAAAACACCAAATTAAAATGCTAATTGGTTTGTCCTTTTTTGTCTGTAAAAGCACAGTATGTGACCATTCTGTAAAGCATGTGTTAAATGAGTTATCTCTCTCTATTCAGTCAGCACCAAAATCTTTTCCAACTACGTACTAGTCCAATTTTCTTATGTGTCTAAACAGATATAGATATTTGTAAACACTTAATAGTCTGAATAAAATTTTACTAGTCTGGGGCTTCAGACTAGTGGCTAATGGTGCAGACTGTCTAGTAGTCGATTTTAAATATATTTTCTACTCAAATTCTCCATTTGCCATCTTGAAGCAATGAAAATGAATGTAAATAAATATTTATTTATATTTTTCAGGATGGAAAAGGAAGTATCTAATAAATATTGTTTAAAGCACAACTAGACAATGTCTTCTGTAAGTGAATATCTAATGAATCATTCCAATTATTGAAATGTACTTGGTTTTGGTTAGAAATCTTAATTAAGAAATAATTCTTTCATGCCATGCTCTATGCTCATTTAAGCATGAGTAGGCATTATATTTGTCAATATCTTCATACCCAACGTTAGCTAGGTGTAAAATGTTGACAAATATAATGCCTACCCATGTTAAAATGAAAATTTAGAACTTTTGTACTTGGAAGCGGACCTATAATACATGTTCAAAGGCAGCCATTTTGATTACATGAAGCTAAACCGATATAGAAAACCAACTGTTGAAAAAGAACAGATACATGTACACTTACATTTAGAATGATTTTATTTAATTTCCTAGAGAGCAACACCAACACAAATGTCCATTTTGATCTCCAGCGTTGTTTTAAATACAACTGAAGTTGCAATTTCAATTGTGACGTCAATCACATGCAGCCCATGTTCTATTGCAATTAGAACATGGCTTTGTTTCCAAAGCGAAAGAAGAGTGTCATATTAGAAGTGAATGTAAATTAATACATTGTTATAAAGTACATGTATTATCTGTTTTTTTTTGTCTTCCATAATTAACAGATTAAGAATAAATTCTATATAAACATTCACTCAATAGAAGGATGTAGTTTAGACATCAATGAGACAGCAACCCGGTTACATAAATTACCAAAAGAAATTCAAGAGGATGTGGTTTAGACATCAATGAGACAGCAACCCAGTTACATAAATTACCAAAAGAAATTCAAGAGATCAATTTTCCTTTCAATGAATAAAAGACATGAACATGGGTCTACAATATGTGAAGATCTAAATTTTCCAATGTCTCAAAAAGGGTAAATAGATAAAATAGTATTTTTCAAACATTTGTCATTCACACCAGATTCTCCAAACAAAAAAAATATTATCCATGTTTGGTTTAGCAAATTTATCAACTTTCTGTCAACATTGCAAAGTTCAAGAAACAATTTTTGTGTCCATTTTGTTATGTTCTATTTTGTTCTTTGTGGGAAATACATGTTCTGTTTGATTGATAATTATTTTTGTTTATTTCAGACAAGTGCACCGAGTACTAATGACCTTGCCTTGCCAGTTGCTGCCATTGTGTGCATATCTGTTGTGTGTTATACATTGTTGATTATAGGTGTACTAGTTATTAGATGGGCTATTCGTGTAAGTGAAGTACCATGACCTGTATTCATTATTATACTTCAATACACATTTTTGCAACCACAAATCAAATTTCATGAACAGATTTTCAGTCGTTTTCAAAGCAACTAAGTATGAAAAAAAACAAAAAACAACAAAAAAATCTTTTTCTCAAATAGTGAAATAGAAACACATATATACTGTGTGTATACTGTCCATTCGGTACTCACTGGTTTTTTGGAACAAATTCTGACAATAATTTCATAATATCAATGAAGTGAAATTAAAGTCTAATAGGATTGTAAGTATGTTTTATACTATATATAGCTATCACCTTTCACAAGTTGACTGTTGATTTCTACAGCAGTTCGTTAAAATTTCTGACCAGTTGAACAATTTGGTTTGGTAAAACAAATTGCAATTTGGTCAGAATTTAGTAGTTAGTAAACTGCAGTAAGTGGAGAGAAACACTAACAGTCAAGTGACAGTAATATTAAAACAAGGAGATGTGGTATGACTGCCAAAGAGACCATTATCTACTAGAGACAAAAGAAAGAGGATGTAATGAGTAAAACCCAACTTTCTGTTTCATGACACTTTAAATTACGAGTGGTGGCATGCTTAGGACGACAATGTGTGAATTCTTGTTTGTATTTCAATTGACTTGTTAATTTATTTATATTTTTAGAGACATAATATTTGTGAAAATTGCTGCAAGTGTAATTTGTGTGGAACAGAGGAACCATTGGAGTGTACATGTTGTGTGAATGTTTCTCAGAATTGTGACTGTGATCCTAGTCTTAATAAATGTTTGGATAAATTATGTCCCAACAGAAAGGTATGGTAGTCAGGTGTCAAATTCAAGACAAAATTTTTAATTAAGGGTCAGAAAGGTCATGAGAAATTATAAAACAATATATACTCCAAAAGAAGGATATAGTAGTCATGTGGCAGTCAAATGGTTTTAGTGAGCAAATTAAGTGGGATAAATCCATAGGTACTGTAAATTCAGTACTAGTGCATCAATTTAATTATGGTGATTTTTGAAGAATGGACAAAAATGTGAGAAATTATTGCGATTTTAAGAAAAACTGCATACAGATATATGAAACAGATATCAGAATGCAAGTTCTTATTGTGATTCTTTCCTAGAAGCAATATTCACATTTATTAAAACCTCTCAATAATTTACGAATTTATAGTACCGGTAATGTAATCAGGTATTAGTCATATGAAAGGAAGTTTGTCAATTTGTTTACAATACTATGTGTATACTACATGTATATGTAAGCAGAGCAAAAAGTTTTTCTTTTGCCAACTTTGCTCATACAGGACAGAAAATAAAGTAAGAGTTTATTAAGACTTTGGGATAAGAATAAGATACTAGGTTTTATCAAAGTTATTTTATTGCATTAGTGAAGGACATGTCAATTGCTTTAAATGAATAAAAATAAACAGCTTTGAACTCATTTATTGTATAAAGATATATTAAAATATATGTAAAACTTTGTATATGCATGAATTTAGATAAAAGTAGAGAAAAAGATTAGTTATAGACAGAACATTAACTAGAGCATTAGACATTAAATTTCAGCATAAAGTTTAAAACAGCATGAATGCTTGCAATAATATGGACCTCTCCACTAATCTCAGTACCCTTTTAACGAATATAAATCAAAATGTTTTATACAATTGTGAAAATTAACAGAATTTATTTCAGATACATTGTATATACAATAATAACTTGATTTACCAAACAATCCATAAATTAAAAGCTTGTTTGTTTAATGTGTCATTGCATTCATTCAGATTTCAGATTTTCAAAACTGTAAACAGACATGTTTTTTTGTCAATTGTGTTTTCAGGACGTGCAGCAATATTGGAGAGAAAGGGTATTACAATCATGTTTCTATGTTCTGTTTGTGTGTTATTGTATTGAAACTAAATGACAGTTACCAATATTAAACAATTTTTTCTTTATTCTGATATTTTTAAAAGCTTTTGTTTTGGACATATTTTTGATGGGATAGATAGACATAGAACACCTAGGGTAAAAAAAGTAACCTTTAGCAAATAAACCACAAACTCTCTTATACATGATATTATACCTGTCATGCCTGTAAAGACGGTAAGATAACTCTTATCTGTATTTTTCAAGTGACCCTTATTAGTTCTTGAACTTCTAATATGAATATCATGATGCATTTGTAAGCTAAAATGATCTGTACACATAGATGATGAAAAATTTCTCAGATCACCTTGCCAATTGGAAAGATATAAGTCAATTCTTTTAATTTTTATATTTAGATATTGTTGATATATATCGATCCTTAGAATTTTTGTACTTTGTGATTTTTCCTGAAGTAAATTTGTTTCCATCATTATTTATATTTTTTTTTCCTCATCCCTCTTAATTTTGATTTCATTCAGCCTTTTTCAGTTTATATCCTTTTTTTTTTATTTGTTTAATTGTGTTGAAAACTGATTGTGTTAAAAGTTGTATGTTTCATTTATTTTGTTCATTTTACAAATTTCACAATTATGTTTCAAGAGGTAATCAATCTAACAAACATGAATCATACACTCAATTCGTGAAAATAATCTGTTTACCAGTGCAAAGGTGTATTATATGAAAGTTTTCCTATTTATTGATACCAGTTTTCCTGTCATTGAATATATAAAGTGCATGGTTTTGTCACCCAAATCCGTTAAGTTTACAAAATCTAGTTATAAATTTTACTGTGTTTGAGGCATGAACTATGTATTTGAAAATGTATTGATTGATTGATTGTACACCACTTTCAGCACAATTCAGCAGCTATTTCGTGGTGGTCAGTTTTTAAATTATTGGTTGAGGATAAGAAAATGTACAAATGAAGTACAAGTTGATAGTTTTCAATGGAGCTACATTGAGAAATAACTTATCAACATTGTACAAGCATGATTCCTTTAGCATTCAAAAAGGGCTTTTTCGTAAGAAACACCTCTAGATGAGAAAAATGCCATTTGAAATTTGGAATAATATATTTTTAAGATGAATGTTATAAAAATATGTTTTTCTCTCTTTCAGAATGTGAGTTGTGTAGATATTTTGCTGTGCCAATGTTTTGCAGGTCCAAATAATTGTTGTACTAATGTAAGTAAAATCTTTGCCAATGATCTTGCACTTGTTGATTGTTCTTTGTAATAAAGCAATCAGATTTAAAATTTTGTTAGGTTAAAATCATTGGTTTACAATAAGGAACAGTGTCTATGTCATAGCTATATTTCTTCTTATTTAATTTCAAACATAAATAGGTTATATTATAAAAGAGATGGTCAACGATTTATACATGTTTATAATTTTTTTTCAATGAAAATCAATTCTTTGGCTTTGATGAATATTAAAAGGCATCCAATAACCCTCAGATATTGAGTGCTTAATATAAATGTACTTGTTAAACCAAACATTTAACCTTGAACAAATTGCAGGAAACTGTTTTAATCGGAAAAACTTTTATGGATAAAGGTTGATGAACTCAAAATTTTGCAAAATTTGAATAAAATGTGATATGGGCAAAACATGTAAAGGGACAAAACCCAAGGAGTTAATTTTTTTTTTCGGATTTAAAAAAACCTTTACTTGAATTGATTAAAAATTGCAGAATTTTAATTAAATATTTTCTCATTTCTGAAAAATATTGATACAAGTAAATTTCCACTTGTAAAGGGTTTTTTCACCTTATTTTTTTGTCAATTTTAACCTTTATTGAATTAGAAAATCAATATCGCTGGTACAGTAATAAGGCAGCATGGATTACTTGTATATCCTTTTATTTTTATTAGAGAAATTTGATGGCATATTTCATGCATGGCATTTAGAAATTGATTGACAATTTTATTAAATATTATATTTTTTCAAAATTTATGCATGGTACTTTTTAATAGAAGATAAACTAACAAATATGAATATTCATGTTCATTAATTAAAGGAAGAAGATCTATATGAGGTACACAGAAATCTACTTTTAGAAGAGATATTATATATACTCAATATTCCAAGGGTTACTACTCTGGTTTCTCTGTTCAGTGCCTACGGTCATAAAACATTACTCAGTACTCAAGAGTACAAAATTTGTGCTCGAAATACAAAATCCCGCAATTTGATTGGTTAAATTTTGTCTCTGAGTATGCTGATTGTACTCTAAATTTTTTATGACCGCAAGGCCAGTTCTGTAACTTGAACTTAAAAGCTGTGGTTGGTATGGGACTTTCCATTCTCTTCAAAAAATTTGATTTCCTTTTGGAATATTCATACATTCTTCTGAATGAAAAGACGTGTCCGTCCACATTTTGCATTTTTGTTCCAAATTCTGGTTCCACTAGTTATGATTATTGAACTGGAACCAGTTTTGTCCCCAAATGACCTTGCCCACTTGAAGGTGATGCAGTGCTGACACTGCAATTCTAAAATTGTTTCTAGATTTGAACTGATTCTGGAATAAATTTATATTAAGGAGACATGCCTTTTATTTATAATCTGTTTGTCCTTACTATTGAAAAATTAGACGATAAAAATATTTGTAAAATATGAATTGAATTGTTTTTGATTCAAACTGGGTAGATTTTAAAAATATTTAAATGATTCCAGGAATTAAGGGGTGAGGCTAACAAACTTTTCAGCAAAACAAAAACAAACATGTCAAGACTGCTCCAATTTTTCTCAACATGTAGGAATTAGACCAATAAAAAAAATAATATTTGTGTAATCAAGGTTTTATTGTAATATTGTTTTTCTTCTATACAGTGGTGCAATGAATGTGGAACTCTTCAATCTCAAAATGTCACATGACATATTTCCATGGTAACAATAATATATAAATTACTTATAGTCGAGTAAGTATTTGTGTGAATATTCTCACCAGAACTCTCCACTCCTGTCTCATCACTGTTTCTTTGCTTGCTTTTACAAGACGTAGCACTGCTTGTAGGGTGCATGTGCTTATAACATTTCACACGTACAAATTTTTAAATACACTGCAAAATGCAATTATTTCACTTTCTTTTTTTGTTAAAAAATATTTTATGGAATGCATACTTTGAAACCATAATAGATTTTTTCAAATTTACATTAATTTAACCTGGAACCAATAGTTTTAGAAAGACATGTGAGGCCCCTCTTGGGGGTGTCCCAAGTAATCACATAATCACAAATTTCTGGCCAATATAATCACATAATCATTAATTATTTTTTAAAACAAGATAATCAGATAATCAAATATACAGTCCTAGATTATCAAATAATCATGAAATATTTGGTCTGTTAATCAAATAATCACTATAAAAACGGCCAAGTAATCACATAATCAAAAACCCCATGAGGAGGCTCACATGTCAAAGCCACATATGTATAATATAAAGTACATGATACTTTAGGCTACTGACAAATTGAACAAGCAAAAATCACTTTTGTTTGATATTTCCATCAGTTCCAATGTTAAATGCATAGACTAAATTTAAAGGATTGAAAAAATTACATATGAACTTCCAGAAAAATATCCATAGATTTGTACTGTGAAATGTGATTATTATATTATCTTTCAGATTTATATATGGTGTGGTGGTGCTAAAACTTACATATTAATCTCTTTTTATAACCATTTCTAACTGTAGAGTAGAAATTAGCTATGTTTAAACATGTATATTATTTTAATTATATTCTTACAATCTCATATTATTCAAGGATCATCTCAAAACTAAACAGTTATGATGACAATAAATTGTTTTAATTATTAGGTTTTTTAAAAAAAACAAAAATTAAAAGGGTTATAATCTTCGTACATGTATTGTTCGTCAACAAAGATTAATTAAGAAAGAGATATATTTCCTGTAGTTTTGTTTGTTTAAAAAGTACAATTTATAATGTGGAAATACCTTTTAATATGGAATGAAAAGAAATCATAAGGTTATATATTTTTTATAAATAGAAATAAACTTTATTGTGGAATATTTGTGATTATAATAATTATTAGCAGAGTTACTTAATTTTGGTACAGCGCTGTAATGCCAGCATATGATTTCATTTGGAAAAACTGTTACATTTTGAGATGGTCTGTTTTATTTTTGCTTCTATATATAGCATGACTAAAATAAGGGTGCAGAAAATAGCACATTGAAATATATACATTTATTGGTCATTTGTGTAAATAAATATGTGGAAGTTAATGATTAAGTACGTGGTGGTTTAAATGGGTTGGTAAAATTAGAAATAGAACATTAGTATTTAGTCAGGCTGATAATCAGCTGTATGAAAAATATGTGTATTATTTAATATTGGTTTGCGGATTAAGAAAAACATTAAGTGTAAAAGTATACTTTAAATTGTCTTAGTTTAGCTATTATATTTATGTGTTACTTGTACACAATGTGTGAATGACTGTGTGGTTTGTGTGTTACTTGTACACAATTTGTGAATGACTGTGTGTTTTTTTGTGTTACTTGTACACAATGTGTGAATGACTGTGTGGTTTATGTGTTACTTGTACACCATGTGTGAATGACTGTGTGGTTTACATGTTACTTGTACACAATGTGTGAATGACTGTATGGTTTATGTGTTACTTGTACACAATGTGTGAATGACTGTGGTTAATGTGTTACTTGTACACAATGTGTGAATGACTGTGTAGTTTATGTGTTACTTGTACACAATGTGTGAATGACTGTTTTTTTGTGTTACTTGTACACAATGTGTGAATTACTGTGTGGTTTATGTGTTACTTGTACACAATGTGTGAAAGACAGTATAGTTTTTTGTGTTACTTGTACACAATGTGTGAATGTGGATTTTGTGTTACTTGTACACAATGTGTGAATGACTGTGTGGCTTTGCCTGAATATAAGATTTGGAATGGATAGTGTTGTGTAAGGAATGAGATGGAGTGTTTTTGATGTGCTTACTAAGTTTTGTAATTGTAGTTAAACAGGTTAAATATTCACTGACCATAAGACATGTATCAATGTAATTAATACAGCACTTGTTAATATGTTTGACCAAGATCTCTCCTATAATTATTCACAAAATTTTGTTATGTGCTTTATATTTCTTTTTATAAATGTATGTTTGAGTTAAGCAATTTTTATCATTTTTATGAAAAATCAAAGTGAATATTCATGATATTTGAAAGACCTTACAGTTTAGACTTTAGACTGTGTACACACCTATCAGTTATTGTCGTAAATGGAAAGATTTTTTTGATTTTGCAAAGCATCATTTTTCAGGGCAAAGAAAGCCCTGATTCCACCTTCTCCTTTAAAAGTTTTTAATATGAGATCATTTAGATATTTCTATCAGTATGGAAAAAAGAATCTGTCTGAAAATGTCTTGGAGATTAAACAGAATGTAGAGTTATTTAAGGGACTTATCATTTTTTACTTGGGAGGAGGGGCTGGTCAAAATGATGAGGGATTAAGTTTTTTTCTGTAAGTGGAAAAGGGGGGTTCAAATTTTTTTATAAATTCAAAGTGGGGGATCAATTTTATCTCTAATGAAACATTTGTGAACTTTTGAATCTTCAAGTTTATCCTACATATCATGTGTGTCAAAGGTAAGTGTTTCACATGTTAGAATTTTGGCGTGTTTAATAGAGGGGAGATCACATTTTTTTAAAATGTTTTTAAGGGGTGTAAAATAAAAATAGTGAAAAGTTATGGGGAATAAAAAAAAATTTACATGTTTAGCAAATTTCAGAAGCCTTACAGGAAAATAAAGCATACCACAAAAAAAAAAGTCTCAAGCCTATAGGATGACCGGAATTTAAACATAGATTGTGATTTTAAAATGCAATCATTCAGACTTTAACTTAATAACTAAGAATTCAAAAATTGAAAAACATAAAGCGGTTGAACAACACATTAATTCACATGATTAGGGCTGCTTCTCAGACACTATAAACAATAGGTCAAATATATATAATAATAAGGTGTACATGTCCATCTTGCAGGATTCCTCTGACCTTGACGTCATTTTCATGATTCATTGGTTTATTGATTTTTCATAATAAAGGCAAATCATCTGAGGTTCTTTTTTTCTAATTTTCCACATAAACAACAGTTTAATTTAGAATCCCTTTCTGACCTTGACATCATTTTTATGGTTCATTGGTCAACGTCAAATTTTCGTAGCTAGGTCCTCATTCTCGTATACTTTAAGCAATAGGTCAAATATATTTGGTGTATGGAAAGATAATAAAGTGTACATGTCCGTCTGGCAGGGTTATTTGACCTTGACCTCATTTTCATGGTTCCTTATATTCCACGTTAAGTTTTCGTGGTTAGGTCTGTTTCTCAGATACTATAAGCAAAAGGTCTGAGAATATATTTGGTGTATGGAATGATAATTAGGTGTTTGGCAGGGATCATCTGACCTTGTCCTCATTTACATGGATAATTGATAATGTTATGTTTATATGATACTAATATTAAACCGGTAACATAAATTCAAGTCAAGATCAGTAAAGCAGACGAGACATTCCAGCATGTGTTCTCTTGTTATTATTGAACACTGGTGTTGTTTAATGGTTTCACAGTTCAATTGAAGTAATGTCAGGTAAACATACAACAACAGTTATAAATCTGTGTGATGTTAGTTCTAGAGGTTTTACATGCACATAAACTGTATTCGAATTTGCATGTATTTATACCCCACGGAACAAAGTTCCGTAGGGTATAATGCTTTTGACCCGTCAGTCCATCCTTCAGTCTGTCCGTCCATCCGTCAGTCCTGTTCTTGTCATCTCAACATCTCTAAAACCACACAACAGAATTTTTATGAAACTTTGTAGATAATAAGGACACACTATGTAGATGTGCATATCGACAGGAAATTTTGATTCATTATATTTTCTAGGAGTTAAGCCACTTTGAACTTAACTAGGAATCTAGTGAAATTTTGTTTGCCCAGTGACAAAATGGGGGTGTGGGGTATGTGAGCGTGCTCACTAATGTTCTTTAATTATTTTCACTAAAATATACCTACTGCAAAATATGTGAAATAAGTAAAATAAGAAAAAAACTTCATTTACATAACAATCAATGTATGTCAATAATTAACATTTACGATTATTCTTCATGGAAACAAAATATCACATTTCAGGGAAAATTGTGAGTACATGTATCCCCAAAACATGTGACTTTGTTCTAGAAACTCTTAAAAATTACCCAAAAGAATGAAGGTCAGGTTTAGATCTTGTCATGAAGTTTAAATACTGTAAATTTAGAAATTATTGCGTTCATTTATTATTGCGATTTTGTCATTTCAGACCAAAATGCGATTATTATTTTTGCGATACATGTACTGAGAAAAAGTAAGCGTCATTCATATAAAAAAAATCTAAAATGCGAGTTAAAATTATTGCGATTACAACCCTGTTGCATTTTCGTAATAATAAAATCATTGCAATAAATCTGAATTTACAGTAGTCATTTCTAGGAAAATTTTCAAAACTTCATTCCAATTTCTGTAAATTCAGAAATTATTGCGTGCATTTATCATTGCGATGTTTGAAGAATGGACGAAAATGCGAGATTAATATTTGCGATTTTGGAAAAAGCTGCCTACAGACATATGTATCAGATATTATAATGCGACTTCTTATTATTGTGATACGCATCCAGTCGCATTATTAGCTCACCTGGCCCAAAGGGCCAAGTGAGCTCTTCTCATCACTTGGCGTCCGTCGTCGTCGTTAACTTTTACAAAAATCTTCTCCTCTAAAACTACTGGGCCAAATTTGACCAAACTTGGCCACAATCATCATTGGGGTATCTAGTTTAAAAAATGTGTCCGGTGACCCGACCAACCAACCAAGATGGCCGCCATGGCTAAAAATAGAACATAGGGGTAAAATGTAGATTTTGGCTTATATCTCTGAAACCAAAGCATTTAGAGCAAATCTGACATGGGGGTAAAATTGTTTATCAGGTCAAGATCTATCTGCCCTGAAATTTTCAGATGAATCTGACAACCCGTTGTTGGGTTGCTGCCCCTGAATTGGTAATTTTAAGGAAATTTTGCCGTTTTTGGTTATCTTGAATATTATTATAGATAGAGATAAACTGTAAATAGCAATAATGTTCAGCAAAGTAAGATCTACAAATAAGTCAACTTGACCAAAATGGTCAGTTGACCCCTTAAGGAGTTATTGCCCTTTATAGTCAATTTTTAACCATTTTTCGTAATTTTTTGTAATCTTTTACAAAAATCTTCTCCTCTGAAACTACTAAGACAAATTTAACCAAACTTGTCCACAATCATCATTAGGGTATCTAGTTTAAAAAATGTGTCCGATGACCCCGCCCGCGAACCAAGATGGCCGACATGGCAATAATGTACAGCAAAGTTAGATCTACAAATAAGTCAACATGACCAAAATTGTCAATTGACCCCTTAAGGAGTTATTGCCCTTTATAGTCAATTTTTTACAATTTTCATAAATTTTGTAAATTTTTGTAAATTTTTACAAAATATTTTCCACTGTAACTACTGGGCAAAGTTCATTATAGATAGAGATAATTGTAAGCAGCAAGAATGTTCAGTAAAGTAAGATCTACAAACACATCACCATCACCAAAACACAATTTTGTCATGAATCCATCTGTGTCCTTTGTTTAATATGCACATAGACCAAGGTGAGCGACACAGGCTCTTTAGAGCCTCTAGTTCACAATAATAAAAACCTTGCAATAATTTCTGAATTTACAGTAGTTATTTCTAGGACAATTTTCAAAACTTCATTCCAATTAGTGTAAATTCAGAAATTAAGGTGTGCATTTATTAGTGCGATTTTTAAAATGGACAAAAATGCGAGATTAATTATTGCGTTTTTGGGAGAAAGCTGCATATAGATGTATCTATTAGATATCAGAATGCAAGTTGTTCTTATTACGATAATCACCCAGTTGCATTATTTGTATTAATAAAATTCTCAATTTCTGAATTTACAGTATACATTAGTCGGATGTATTTTCTTTTAGTAGTTTGTATGACCAAATATCAGATGCAATGTTTACCAGTTTCAAGAAGTCTGAAGTGTGATCTTATACTTTCATATCAACCATATAGGCCCTTAAAAAATGCCTTTGAAGAAATTGATTTGTACTTTTATATAATTTTAGGTAGAAGAAGAAAATAATTGTTGCGTATTGCCGTGTGACATAAAGTGTGCTCATTTCAACTTTTGTTGTTTTGAGGTCAATTTGAGAACAACAACTAGCCAGAGAGAACAATCTGACTTTCAAATGATGCAGGTGAACTCAGCAAGAAGTATGCAGAGCCGTTCCAAAAGTGGACGAGAACCTTCCACTGTGGTTCAAGTTATTAATATTTAATGGAAAAGAAAACCCATTTGTATTTGACATGTTTGATATTTTTTTGTTACTTTTTTGTTTAATTGAAAGAAATAATTTAAAGGATTTTTGAAAATATTTGATAAACACAGACATATCATTTTCATTGTAAAAATTACTGTCAGTATTCAGAGTTAAAAAAAGCAGGTCACTATGGTAAATTCTAAAGTATAATGCATGCATAAGGGTCTGGATGGGGTTTACAGAACAGAGAATAATGAAGAAAACATGCAGAATAAAGGGCAAACAAAAATTAAAGAATAGAGAAAAATAGGCAACAAAAATAAAGAATAGAGAATAATGGGCAAAATAAATAAAGAATAGAGAAAAATGGTTTAAAAATCAAAGAATATATAAAGAAATGAAGGACCCCATCTCGACCCTCATACATTTATTTATGCTATTTCAGAAAAAAACAAAGAGAAAGGGTAGATAAATAAAAGCAATATAAAAAATATTGTATACAAATAATGATATCAGAATTTAAAAAGACATAAATAATGAGATACTCATCAGATCATAACTTTTACAATGATAAAACAATGCAAAATTTGCTGAGTAAATGTAATGGAATATGGAAATTCAACAAATTTTAAGAAACATATATTTTCTAGGGAAAGAGACAAATCTGATTGGAAGGAATTGATGTATTTCATTTTTTTGACGGTCAGGTCACGTAGAACAAGTTATTTTATTTTTTAGGCTGAGTCAGGTCATTTAAAACTAGTTGTTATATTTTCAAGTTTATTGGTTTTATAAAATTTAATCTGATGGAATTACAAAAATGTTCTTACTCACTTTTAACAAGTCTAAGATTTGTTTACAATGGAATGCATCTAAATGATTAGTCTGTTAGGATTATTAAGAAAACCAAATAACATGGTCTTATCCATATCGCTTCAAGAAACAGTCCAAGTTTTACCGGATTACTGCTACCTCTTAGTATCCCCCTCAAAATCAGAAATCTATTGGTGTATCAATGCTTGTTCTTTTATGAAATTACAATATATATACAATATATATATATATATATATATATATATATGTGGTGCCTATTTCCTTCATATCTAATTTTTAATTCTGCTGAGTTGCAAATGAAAACATTTCCCTGACATTTGCTTGCATCAAGCAGACGGCCATGTTTCCTCCTTTTGACAGTTTCTGAGAGGATGTGTATTGGAGGATAGTCAGTATTCAATAATGACTACAGTTTATTTTACAAATGTGTATTCTATTTTTAGATAGCTGCATATAATGTAAGTGGCCTTAACCGATATTAAATGAAGTAAAGTAATTCTTTATCATTACACTTCATTGTCTTCATTTTACTTACAGACAATTGGTATGTAAAAAAGTAAATGTACAACTGGTATATACCAGTAATTTTTTTTATTTAAAATATTTCATGTCATGACATTGTTCAATTTAAAATATTATCTTGTATAATTAATAATCAAAATATTTGTAAATGTAAATGAATCTCGATTTGTTTTGTGATAATAAAACATGCAAAATATCCTACTGGTGATGGTGCTAAAATCTTCCCTATTCAGTATTTTTTACTCACACAATTCATATCTTTCAATGTATTTGAAATTGCTGTTGAAACATGTTATTCAAAAATAAACTCTGCATAAACAAATTTAATCTAACAGTTAAACTATAATTTCGTCCTGTACTGTACTATAACCTGTTTCGGTTATAAAAAATATTTGAACAAAACACCTGTCTATTTTTAACAAATTTGTCAGCCAAAAAGGATTTGCTCTTGTTAACTGAAAATTAAGTCAAAATATTAGCGGGTCACATATTAAATATCAACAAAATTTATCTTTCCAAAATGAAGTTCATGTGTCGTGATTGTATAATGCATGATATAGTGATATGTGAGATATTTGCTTTAGTGCTATTGATTTTTTTTCCTCAATGTTTTTCATTTCAAATTTTTCTTTTCAATGTCTGGTTTCATTTACCAAAACCTGAAAAAAACAATTTTGTGCAGCAAAAAAAAAAAGCAGCAGTAGGAATTAATTCTTCATGTCAGTTATTTATTTTCTTCTTTTTGTAAAACTAACTGTAAAATAGGACGAGTAACCTAATACTGTAAATTCAGAAATTATTGCGAGGTTTTTATACGACCGCAAAAAAATTTTGTGGTCGTATATTGGTATGACGTTGGCGTCGTCGTCGTCGTCGTCGTCGTCCGGCGTCGTCGTCGTCCAGCGTCGTCGTCCGAATACATATTGGTTTTCGCACTCTAACTTTAGTTTAAGTGAATGGATCTTTTTGAAATTTGACCTTAAGGTTAAATACCACAAAAGGAAGGTTGGGATTGATTTTGGGGGTTATGGTACCAACAGTTAAGGAATTAGGGGCCAAAAAGGGGCCAAAAATGAGCATTTTCTAGTTTCCAGACAATAACTGTGGAACGGTGTATGGATCTCTCTGAAATTATACTACAAGTTTCCATACCACAAAGGGATGGTTAGGATTTGCTTTGGGGGGTTATGGCTCAAACCGTTTAGGAATTAGGGGCAAAAAAGGGGGAAAAACAAGGTTGTCCTGGTTAATGGACAAATACTTTAGTACAAAACATAATTTAAAGCAGTGTAAGGGAGATAAATCAAATACATCATTGAAATTATCTCCCTTACACTGCTTTTAAATTATGTATAAAGTAATGGTTAATGAACAATAAAGATAATCTAAAACAGTGTAAGGGAGGTAATCCAAATACAACGTTTTGGTTACTTCCCTTACACTGCTTTTAAATTATGTTTAAAGAAATGCATATTTATAAAGGAAGACCAGTAAAAATATCTGCATATGTTTTCATGTTTTTTTTTTACAAAAAAATCCATATGAAAGATTTGACACTATATTTTTATTAATTCTATTATAAAATAGATTAAGTTAGCACTATGGTAAATTTAAATGGGTAATTATGGTTGCCAACTCCATTGGAAATTTGAATTGAGATTATGACCATATCTTGAGGGAAAGAATTTTTTGGGGGGAAAAACGGGGGGGGGGGGGGGGGGGGGGGGGGGGGGGGATAAAAAGAAATTGTGGGGGGCCAATTTTTTCTCATTTCAGATTTCAGAAATTAAAAAGAATTATTCTTCTAATATTATTTTTTTTCAAATTTCAAATATTGAAAAATTTCAAGAAGTAATCTTTAATTGCACAGTATGGCGCATTAGATTTGTAAAATCTTTGATCACATTTATTTGTTATGCCGAATCTAACAGTGTATTTAGATTTTTAATTTTGGGTCCAGTTTTCAAATTGGTCTACATTAATGTCCAAAGGGTCCAAAATTAAACTTTGTTTGATTTTAGCAAAAATTGAATATATGATGTTCTTTGATATGCTGAATCTAAACATGTATTTAGATTTTTGATTTTTGGCCCAGTTTTCAAGTTGGTCCAAATTGGGGTCCAAAATTAAACTTTGTTTGATTTCAACAAAAATTGAATATATGGGGTTCTTTGATATGCTGAATCTAACCATGTATTTAGATTTTTTATTTGTGGACCCAGTTATCTAATTGGTTCATATTGAGGTCAAAAGGGTCCAAAATTAAACTTTGTTTGATTTCATCTAAAATTGAATTATTGGGGTTCTTTGATATTCCAAATCTAACCGTGTATTTAGGTTTTTAATTTTGGGTCCCGTTTTTTAAATTGGTCTTCATTGAGGTCCAAAGGGTCCAAAATTAAACTTAGTTTGATTTTTACAAAAATTGAAATCTTGGGGTTCTTTGATATGCTGAATCTAAACATGTGTTTAGATTTTTGATTATGGGCCCAGTTTTCAAGTTGGTCCAAGTTGGGGTCCAAAATTAAACTTTTTTTGATTTCAACAAAAATTGAATATATGGGGTTCTTTGATATGCTGAATCTAACCATGAATTTAGAATTTTTATTTGTGGGCCCCGCTATCAAATTGGTTCATATTGAGGTCAAAAGGGTCCAAAATTAAACTTTGTTTGATTTCATCAAAAATTGAATTATTGGGGTTCTTTGATATTCCAAATCTAACTGTGTATTTAGATTTTTAATTTTAAGTCACGTTTTTTAAATTGGTCTACATTAAGGTCCAAAGGGTCCAAAATTAAACTTAGTTTGAATTTAGCAAAAATTGAATTCTTGGGGTTCTGTGATATGCTGAATCTAAACATGTGTTTAGATTTTTGATTATGGGCCCAGTTTTCAAGTTTGTCCAAGTTGGGGTCCAAAATTAAACTTTGTTTGATTTTAACAAAAATTGAATATATGGGGTTCTTTGATATGCTGAATCTAACCATGTATTTTGATTTTGGACATTGGACCATAATAGGTAAATTAAAAAAATTCAAGTTCTTAGACCACATTCTTTCTGTGTCAGAAACCTATGCTGTGTCAAATATTTAATAACAATCCAAATTCAGAGCTGTATCAAGCTTGAATGTTGTGTCCATACTTGCCCCAACTGTTCAGGGTTCGACCTCTGCGGTCGTATCAAGCTGCGCCCCAGCGAAGCATTTTATTATAAATGTGAATAATGTTACTGAATTAGTATCGCATTAATAAAAACTCGCATTCTGATATCGGATCCCTATATGCAGAAATGTATGAAATCGCAATAACTAATCTCACATTTTAGTCCATTCTTCAACATTCACAATAATAAATGCAAGCAATAATTTCTGAATTTACAGTAATCAAATGTTATAGAAAACAGTATAGTATAATGATAGGAAAGTAAAAGTCTGTGTGTTTACATATGAATTTGTAAAAGGATTATTTGTTCTTTAGTATAGATATGTGTTCAGTCTGGCAACTACCAGTACTTATGAGAGAAATTTTCATAAAATTGCTTTGTTGCCCTAACATCTATTCATTGGTTATTTCTAAAGAGAATTAATAAAACATTGTAATTGACGAAATATATTTTTCTGTTATTGGTTTGCTACCACAATTGAAAAATTAACAAATTATTTTCTGTCGTATTTGCTACCACAATTGAAAAATTAACAAATTATTTTCCGTCGTATGTTGTTAGGTTCTTTTTTCATTGATATAGGCCAATCATCTACTTTTATTCATATTTAGTTATAAAGGTCCTAATAATAGAAACATTCATCAGGGGCAGATAGGTACTAACTCCTTATTCTAGGTTTAGTATTGACAACATTGTCCAGTCTTTTTGTCAGCTATAAAGTTGTGAATATTCAGTATGTTTTATGATATTTGATAAGAGAAATTGATCTACGTAACCACATGGTCATGTGATCAGCATTATTTATTGTTATTGTATATGAGATGTGACCAACGAAACTTTTACCGTCCTTGTTATAAGCATTGTTATTTATTTAGATATTTAATAAATTGAGATATTGTACATTTTTTTTTATCACTTCTCAAAAATGAAAACAAAATGAAACTACAGCATTTTAAATTGCTCAAGCATATATTGATTTATAGTGTATTGTCCAGCAGTCATTCTCTCTGATTTTATGCAAGGTTTTTATGACCTGACCTTGACCCTGTTTTCATTTTCTATCAACCAGACTGATGTTTTTGACATGCCTAAGGTGAATGCTTTGGAGGCCAGATATCCATGGTGCTTTCCTTGTGTTTGACTTGTCATTTATACTTGATATTATAATTTATTATCAAGTTCATTTTATGTTGTTGCATAAGAATAAACTGCATCTCAGATACAACTATTTGAAGCTGTCCCTCAGACATATGCTTCAGTGACTATAGCATTTTTACAATTTCCAAATGGTTAGTTTTATGATCAGTTTTGTTTTTGAATAAGTCCCTAAGACAGCATGTAGATTTGATACATCTTGCTGCGTATAACTACCCTGGAGGTCTCATGGTAGAGTGTTCACCTGAAGAACAGGAGGTTGTGGGTTCAATCCTCGACCAGGTCTAATAAGACTGAAAATTGGTATTTGCTGCATCTCCATTTAAGTACACAGCATTTAGGAGTAAAAGCAGACTGGTTAGCCAGGAGTCAGAATAATTTGTCTGGGTAGTATGACATGTCTTCCTGCAAATTGTTACCTTGTGAAATATCTTGTTAAAAATCTGGCAGTCTGTTTGCGTAGTTCAAACAAAATTGAAAATGGAAACGGGGGATGCGTCAAAGAGACAACAACCCGACCAAAGAGCAAAAAACAACTCAAAGCCAGGAATGGGTCTTCAACACAGTGAGAAAATCCTGCACCCTGAGGTGGGCTTCAGCTGGCCCCTAAACAATAAATAGCAGGGTTTCTATTCATATCATATTAACATGTTCTCATCCTGAATATGCATTTAATTTGCCACTGGACATTAAACAGCCTTCAACAATCAGCAAAACCCATACCATATGGTCAGCTATAATGGCCCTATTATTACAAAATGTGAAACAATTCAAAGAAAAGACCAACATCCTAGTTTATAACAAAATAAACAAAAACCAAAAAAGACAAAACAGCAACCAACAACAACCACTGAATTACAGGCTCCCAACTTGGGACAGGCACATTTAAAATGTGGAGGGGTTTAAACATTTGTGAGCCTCAACCCTCCCCTAATATGGGACAGTGATTTATTACTATAAAAATCATGAGCCTTCCTTAACTCATCAGATCAGCACAAAGCACTGATCTTAAGAGTTCTCACTGTGACTGAAAAACTGGTTATATGCCAAGAAAGTCTAATACAGAACTCATGTTCTCCTAGACTAAGGTATAATAAGCTATAAAAGGCAATGAAATGACAAAATGCAAAACAATTCAAACATGTAAACCAATGGCCTGATTTATGATAATATGTGAAAATAGATATGACAAAAAGCAAAACAACAACAACTGAAATGCTTGCTTGAAATTCAAGAAATTAGTAGACATGTTTTGTTTTCGAAATACTATTCCTGAATTTGCATGAAATATTTGCCACTGGATGATTGGCAAACACCATTCAACCTATCAATCTAAGCAATGCAATATAAATCTATTTCCATATTACAAAAATTTAAAACAATGCAGTAAGAAGATATAAAATGGGAAATAAACAAATTAGTCCATGAAGGATAGATAACACTGTAGCCATATGCATGAAGAAAAAGATAATTATTAATCGACAATATACTACATGCACTAAAAAAAAAAAAATTCACAAAAACCAACCATTTAAGTAACATGGGTAAACTTGAAAGGCTTTTGTTGGACAAGGGAGATATTGCTTCACTAGCAGCACCTCTCTTATTGCTCATGAAAAGTGAAAGTCTTGATAAATAAATCAAGAATGCCCGTGGAACACAGATAATGCCCCTGCTTGCATATAATGTTATAAAGGGACATGACTCAAGAAGGTTCAAGTGACGCAACCCAAATTCCAGCTTGATCTGTGTTTTGTGGTATTAAGCATTGTGTATAAGTTTCATAACATTTGGTAGAGGCAAAATAAAGTTAGAGAACGAAACTAATTTTGGGATGTACGGACGGACAAGGGTAACACTTTATGCCCCTCCACCGTGGTGGGGGCATAAAAAATTGTTCTTGAACAAGATGAGGATTAAATTGTGTCTTTTGACCTATGGAATAGCGTTTGATATCATGGCATGGTTGATATGGTAAGGATCTAAATTTTCTTGCATAATGATGAATTAAAATACTTCAAACAACAAGTTGAATATAGGGAATAAAAATCAAACATAAAAAAAGTGAACATGAACTGGAAATAAAAAATGAAATAAAACACTTGATAATAATTTATTTTATCTTCTTCAAAAAGTAGAACATAAATAAATAACATTTTTATGCCAGTTGAAATTAAATAAATGCATACACAACACTATCCTTTATACTACAGTTGTTTATAAATCAAGTCAAATTAAAGTTTATTCTAAATGGTTTTGCAAACATGTGGAGTTCCATGGAGAAAATTTTGGCAAAACTAAACAAAAGGAATCTGAGAAAAATGGAAAAGCACACGATTGTGAAAAAAACAAGACTTAATATAAACAAGGCTATGGTATATGAAAATGATTATAGACACCAGTGGCGGATCCAGAACTTTTTGTAAGGGGGGCACGCTGACTGACCTAAGGGGGGGCCCGCTCCAGTCACGCTTCAGTGATTCCCTATATAATCAACCAAATTTTTCCCACGAAAGGGGGGCCGGGCCCCCCCAGGGTTCCCCCTGGATCCGCCTATGGACACAATATATTGCATTAAGGATGTTCGCTCATCTGTTTCAAAATAACAAGCTTTTTAAAAGACTGTTATGAATTGATAGTATATAAATGAAGAAACTATAAAAAGCAGATGAAAATGAGGGCTCCGTGTGCCTGTTTTCGAGATTGAAGCCATTGAAAATTTGGCGGGAAATGATTCTCTCTAGATTTTTCATACATTTAACATTGGCACCTTTTTTCTTTCAAAAACAATAAAAAAAATAACAAGGATTTTATAAGATTTTCAAATATGGCTTTTTAAACTAGATGTAATAAAATTATGTAAAGAAAAGTAGGGGTTAGCGGGCAAAAATGTTTAATGGCACTTCATGGATAAAACAAGAGGATTCGGAATATCTGGCAAAAAATCAAAAACAAGAGGAGCGAACATCCTTAACACTTAGACTGTCAATTAAATTATTTTACTTCAATGTTATTTATTAAATATTTTAAACAAGGTAATCATCTTTTTGGGGATCAGTATTAAAGAATGGTAGCTCTAAACAGCTTTAATTTGGTGTTTGATATATAGTTCTGAATATCTGCACTGCCCTACAATATCAAACATTGGCTTTGTTTGCAATAAAAATGGTGTAAGGTGAAAACCCTAATCTTGAACATAATTAATAAATCACTCAAAATAAAAATTACAGATACATACCTAGTCATCATAATATTTTTTACAAAGGTCACAGAAAATTGGGGCTATTTTTTATCACACATACATGAATACTACAAGCAAAAAAGTCATAAGCATAAAATCTCATAATTCAAATATGACAAGATTGAATATTTAACAGATTTATCAATTTAAGAAACAGAACTGATATTGCACACAGCCCAATTAACATTAACTACATTTAAAAGAAAGAAAAAATCAACCCCGGCAAGTATGTACTTCAATAGTATATCCAAACAAGACTAAATGTACAGCAAGGAGTGGATGGGATATTATAACTCTGGACCTTACTTTTAGGTTTAGATTTTTTAATTGTTAAAGACATCAAACTTGACCTAAACTGAAACATAAAAACTGAGCAAAAGTTTTAAAGTAAAAGGACCATGATTAAGGGGCAGAGGGACAAATAATTTCCATGGAAATGAGATGTGCCAGTGTTAATACAACTACATGACAGATATCATTTACTAACTATTAGTGGTTCCTCTAAAACAACAAAACCACTCCATATACAGTAAACATTAATCATATTTAACTAGGCATGTAGGTAAGCAGTTGTTTTTCAATATTACAATTTCTCCTGCTTTTGTATTTTCATGAAAAAAATGAATGACAGAAACTAATACTTATTCAGTATTAATCATTTAGTCTCCATTATTATAAAGAGAATCCTACAAATAACATATCTACTAGTCCCACTGATGAAATGGTATGAAATTTAAATGTCCAGAACAAGACTGTACATGAATTAAAGCTTTTATGCATAATGCATTCCATATCTTTTTCACACACCTGCTGATAATGTCTTCCCAGTTGGCTGAAAAGATAAGAAAAATAAATATCAAACTATTATCTTGTACATAAATCAGTTTTCTTTTTTGAATGGTTTAACATTTGTCCTTTCGGGGCCTTTTAAAGCTTGGTATTTTGTCTTGGTTTTGCTCATTTTTGAAGGCAGTATGGTGACCTTGAATCGCTAACCTTCTACGTCATTTGGACTCTGGTAGGGAATTGTCTCATTGGCAATCATACCTCATCTTCTTATTTTTATAGGGCTGAAAAGTATTTTAAAACGTCAATTTGTTCTTATAATTTTTAACAATATGTTTGAGAATAATTGTTTATGTTGGCAAAAACAGCAGTCCAATTAATAATGTCTTTAAATATAACGTCCTTCAACTATTGCTATGGAAAAGTATTCATAGTCAATCATAGTAAAGGATTCTTAATTATGCAACTCATATAAGAAATAATAACTATTTGAATAACAGAAGATTTGAGGTAATCATAATCGCCTCAAACAACCAACAACAATAATAAAACAAACAAAAACACATCTACAGCTCAACCCAGGCATTCATCTCTTGCTTTAAATACAACTTTTTTTTATTTATACATGTTGCCATAGAACAGAAAAAGCACCCCATCCCCCTCTTTTTATGGGTTAGTATAATCATAAATTAACATTACCTTAATGAAGACATGAGAGGGTAACATTTTCTGTACAATAGGATCTATTGTCCCTGGGTATCTAACCATGTTAACAGCAAGTTTTGGCAGCAACAGATGTCCAGCCATCAATGGGAATAAGTTATACATCAAATTGTATGGCTTTCCTGGTAAGACTCGGAAGTGTATCTGAAATATTTTGATCACACGAAATTCTGTAAAATTGCATAAAACAGTTGGTTGATTTAAGGTATACAGAATTGTGTGTTCATTCATCAATCTTGAAAGAAAAAAACACTTTTAAATTGTGTTAAGAAGTAACAAAGAACAAGCGTTTCTTTTGTAGAATTGATTCTATGATAATTAACAGCAGCAGCCAAAAGTAAGATTTGAAATGAAAGTCCATCCACAAAATTACAGAAGCACCAGGGGTGCATAATCAAAGATGACATGTTTATGGTTTTGTAGTTCTTAGAAGAAACAGGTTTATGGGTTAGATAGTATTTTTTTATTGTTGGGGAAAAGGGGGGGGGGATAACTATAAAGTGACTGACAATTTATGTCAAATGAGGAGAACCAAATAGTTGTAAAAATTTCAGTCTATTAACTGCCACTGTAACCTTTGACCAAGTGACCATAAAAAGTCTTTTTATATTATAGGTACTTTGACCTATACCATTAACCTACTAACTCAATGTGCACTCCTAAATTAAGTTTGATGAAAATTGGAAAATTTTAAACCATTTGAGGCTATCAAATGCAATTGTGACCTTGACCTTTGACATAATGACCACAAAATCAATAGGAGTCATCTTTGTCTCATGAAACATTATCAAACCAAGTTTTGTAAAATTTGGACATATGGTTCAAAAGATAATATCCAGTAACCTACATTTTACCACAATTTCAGTCAATCAGTAGCTGCTGGGACCTTGACTTATTGACCCCAAATCTACAGAGTTCTTCCTTAACCCATGGCCAATTAACAATCCAAGCTTGGTAAAAGTTTGACATATGGTTCAAAAGATAACATCTAAATAACATCTGGAAACCCAAATTTTGTGCAAATTTCAGGTTATCAATAGCTGCTGTGACCTTGACTAAAAAATCAATAAGGTTCCTTCTTACTTATCAAACCAAGTTTTGTAGTAAGGACATTTTTATATTTCTGAAGATTTTTTTGGAAACAAAAATGTTGACATATAAAAACAATACAAATGTACCACAAATATAAAGCAATATGTCCCTAAACTTCTCTGATAGATTGGTAAGTGTACTAGTTGAAGCAGAATGTTAAGGCTTATTATGATTGCCTATATACATGCATTCGAGCCTTAAAAAGGGCACAGTCAATGTAATTAAAATTGACCTTGAAAAATAATATTAGAACTGAATCTAATAAATGTTACAGCTGAGAGTTCTGTGTCCTAACTTACAAGTAGCCAAAATGTTTATGAATATTTTTTTAAGAGAATGACATCGATAAACTGAACCAAGGATGAAAAACACACTACCACCAAAAAGAGAGATGTATTTTTTACTTGAATAAGTTCTATCCTCAGTCCTTTGACTATTTTCCTTTAAATAATATCAAAAACATATAATTTACCTGCTTGTTACCAGAAAACATAAAGTTGTCATTAGGTTCCATGGAGACTTCCATTTCCTGTGGATAGGAGGTCCTATTGTGTATGACATAACAGAGAGGGAGCAGTTGTTTCACACTACCATAAGCTGGTAGCCGTAGATCTACTGATATAGGAATGTGTTCTATGTTGACTACAGGCAACGGGAAGGAAGTTGTTACAAATGGTAGCTCCACATCACTGTCCCATTTCCTATAGATGAAACAAAGCTAAATTAGTTTAAGTTACATAACATTCCATGAAAGTTTGACACAAAGTTATTGATGTCTAAAAAATTTAACCTAAATATAAAATTAAAAGATGTAGCATAATTGCCAATGAGACAACTCTCCACAAGAGACCAGAATATATAGAAATAAAAACATTATAAATAATTATGTAAATGTTAACTGCAAAGAAAACTCAGTCCTTTTATCAGTATAAAAAATGAAAACAACACATTATAAATTTCATACATCCGAAGCACTTTTCTGGATTTACCTTCATCAGGAACGCTCAAGGTCGAATATTTGAAAGCCAAGGATGTATAACAACCTAAATGTTGGAGAGCTATATAATCAAACAGGACCTAAAAAAAGCAAGATGAATTTTTTTTTTAAATTTTGCTCGTCTATATACCATATACATTCATTTTACATATTTTAATCATAGATATAATAGTTATAAATCATTATACCTTCTCCACGAAACTGTGTAGGTTCCCAGTGATGTTGAGGTTTGTGATGTTGTTTTGGTGATCAAACAAAAACACTCTGTAGCACATTCTTTCTTGTTTAAACAAACTGTTAAATACATAAGAAATTTTTTTTGCATTTTGCATATAAAGTGTGGTTATTCATAAAATCCATTTCAAGATATTTCCAAGAACACATAGAAGTACTGGTAATATATATATATAAATAATCATTTTTTACTTTCTGATAAAATCTAAATATTGCAGGCCTCATTGTGACTTTGAGATGAAGAACAGCAATAAAAGCACTGTTCCTTTGCTTTTTGTATGTTTTTTTGCTGTGCATGAACTGATTTTGTGTCATGGATGGATACCCCATATCATTGTTTTTCTAATAAATAAATATATTTATTTACCCATTTTATTTGAGAAAGAAAAAATGGGGAATGTGTCCATGGGACACAGATGATGCCCCCGCTTGCATATTATATAAAGTTATAAAGAGACATAACTGAAGAACTGCAAAAGTGACGCCACCCAAATTTGTACTTGATCTGAGTTTTGTGAAAATAAGTATTGTATGTAAGTCTCATAAAATTTGATTGAGGCTAACTTAAGTTACAGAACAGAAACAAAAAATTCAGCAATATTTCCATTTGTAAGCAGGCATAACTCTAGAACGGTAAAAGTGACGCCACCAAAATTCAAACTTGATCTGTATTTTGTAGTAATAAGCATTGAGTATAATTTTTATAACATTTGGTAAAGGCAAACAAAAGTTAGAGAACGGAAACGAAAAATTCAGCATTTTTTTTGTTTATAAAGGGGTATAACTCGAAAACGATTATAGTGACGCCACCAAAATTCAAACTTGATCTGTATTATGTAGTAATAAGCAATGTGTATAAGTTTCATATATATTTGGTTGAGGCAAAATAAAGTTAGAGAAAAGAAACGAAAAATTACGAACGTACAGACGGACAAGGGTAAAACTTAATGCCCCCTCAGCTACGGCGGGGGCATAAAAATCAAAACAGAACAGTGGATTTACCTCCTTGAATCTGTGATACTGTTTCCTCATCTGTACTCTGTATGTTTGTAGGCTACAAAACGGAATTAAATATATATTTCTAAAAAAAGTAATGCGAAAACAGAAAGAAACCAAAATATGCGTCCATTCCCTGCTGACACCATCACATGTCCATGTTTAGTGACCTGTTAAATATTGGTTGAAACCCTAATATTGCATATATCAAGTTTACATCATAAAGAACATGTGTACTTAGTTACAAGTTGATGTGACAAAACTTCATGGTAGACTACCTTTTATCAAATTTCAAAGAAAATAATAACGAACCCACTAAAAGTAACAATTAAAAATTTAAAGTTAATCTAGGAAGAATAATATTACGGTCATATTCTAAATAAAACATAATAAAATGCTTCGCTGAGCGCAGCTGGATACGACCGCAGAAGTCCAACCCTGAACAGTTGGGGCGAAAATGGACACAATATTCGCACTTGATACAGGTCTGAATTTGGATTGTAATTAAATATTTGACACATAATAGGTTTCTGACACCGAATAACTGTATTCAGAGAACTTAGAATTGGTTATATGATTTGAATTTATATTCAATTTTTTGCTTTTGTGCAATACACTATGCTGATGCGAAATGTTTACCATTTGCAGTTGACTAGATTTAAATTCTACAGGCCATGGTGAAGTACATGTTAACTCTGGTAGTAAAATGAAAGGCTCCTCTGCTTGGATATTCTCTATTTCTTCAAACTACAATTAAATAAATCATATGATAAACAAAGCTGTATACATAAGGCTAGTAAGAAAAATCTAATTGTCATTTTTCCATTTGTACAAATAAATTTCAGAGGAAATTTTAAATTGCATTTTTCTATAAGGTAAAAAGTTTAATACTTCATAGATTCAGAAAAAAACTGTCTGGTTAAGAAATTGACCAAATTTCCCTGCCAAAATTTTGTTTGTCTAAATTAAAAAATATGAATAAAGGAGAGGTCTTCGACCATAGGATTAAAAGAAAAGGATGGATTTATCTGTCACCTCAATCTATATATAATCTCCCTTCAGTAACTTATAAGGACATTACCAAAAAAGACTAGAAAATTTTGCATGGAAAGACTTGACTGGTTCAAAACTCTGAATTACAAAAAATGTATTTGACAACTGTCAAATGATATACTTTGCTTGAATGCAAAAAAACAACAAATTAATTTTCAATGCCTTCTGAAAACCTTCCACAATTTGCTTACCTGTAAAATATTAGTCCTAAACCTTTATGTCATCTTAAGATCTTTCTTATTTATTTAGCTTTGGAACATGCAAGTTAACCTTCATATACAAATTCTTACTTACTTTCATAGACTGGAGTTTGACAGCTACATCAAACGGAGACACAGTTGTTACTGTAATGAACTCTTCTTTCTGACAAGAACATGTGATCTGTGTCTGTTTAGTTGGTACAGAGATAGAATATTCAACCTGACAATTGAAGATTACCTGATTTAATAACAATGTCAAACTTTATGGTAAAATCTAATAAAATAAAACTCAATCCATGATAATCATTGGGGTTTGGGCTGGTTGATCAAGTTGTTCTGCTATTGTTCCATTATTTCAAAACAATGTAAGGTTTTTATTAATGTGAATAATGCGACTGGCTGAATACCTCAATAACAAGAAATCGCATATATATCACACATAATATTTGTTTGCAGATTTCCTGAATCGCAATAATTAATCAGGAATTTTGGTTGTAAAGTCAAAATAGCAATAATAAATCCTTGCAATAATTTCTGAATTTACAGTTTTATCATGTTGCAATGTAAGAAAATTGCCTGTCCCCTTCTGAAGATGATACTAACCTTTTGGTTGGTCAAATATCAATCAGTGTTGAAAATTTACAATAATCTAGTATCAACTTTTATAGCTTCGCATGTATCTCTACTTTTTGATATCTTGCACACTGGTATTATAGGGTTTAATGCTTCTTTTGGACAGATTTTTATTTATATTCTTCTACATATGCTCTTCCCCCAAAAAAGATAGAAACTAAAAGGGGGTGGGTTGAGTGCTACAAAAATTATAAATTATATCAATCCTCCCATATGTTTATGTACATGTCATAAGTCAGGAACCTTGTCAGTGTTTGTCTTTAGCCATATCTTTACAACTTTTGTCCCTCTGGAAATTCAGTATTGATTGCAAATCTTTAATGATTTGAGATAAATTTTATATACTTTTTTTCATACTCTGGAAGAGCACTAGGTTGACATATTGTATAGATATGTGTCTGTTCATGAAAGATTTATTGTTTATATTTGTAGACTTCATGATAGCATCTAAAAATCTTTTGATTATTTTGTGTTGTTAGATTGCTGTCTGATTGAGTTATACCCCACTTCTCCTTCTTCTAATATTCATCTGTGATTACTCAGTTCATCTAAGTTTAATAAGGAAAAATAAAGGTGGATAGTGTCCACATGTGGACACAGATGAAACCCCCGCTTGCATATCATATAGTTATAAAGGGACATAACTGAAGAACGGTAAAAGTGACGCTACCCAAATTTGAACTTGATCTGAGTTTTGTGGTAAAAAGCATTGTGTGTAAGTCTCATAACATTTGGTAGAGGCTAACTTAAGTAGAGAACAGAAACTAAAAATTCAGGAATTTTTCTATTTGTAAACACGCATAACTCTAGAACGGTTGTGTATAAGTTTTATAACATTTGGTTGAGACAAACTAAAGTTAGAGAACAGAAATGAAAAATTCAGCAATTTTTATGTTTATAAAGGGACATAACTCAAGACTGGTAAAAGTGTTGCCACTAAATTTCGTACTTAATCTGTTTTATGTAGTATTAAGCATTGTGTATAAGTTTCATAACATTTGGTTGAGGCAAACTAAAGTTAGAAAACAAGACAAAAAAATTTGTACTTGATCTTAGTTTTGTGGTAATGAATATTGTGTATAGGTTTCATAATGGTTGGTTGGGGCAAACTTAAGTTACAGAATGGAAACTAAAAATTTTGCAATCTTTCAATTTATGAAGGGGCATAACTCAATAATGGTTAAAGTGACACTACCCAAATTCAACTTGATCTGTGTTTTATCAGTGGAAGTCAAAATTAAACATTGCATTGTATAAAGCATTGATTGTAGTTGATTCAACTATAATCATGGACAAAGGAATATAACTCCAATTTAAAAAATTACTTGATATTTAGAAGAAAATAAAAATTTTGCAATTTTTCAATTTCTAAAGGGGTATAACTCTAGAATGGTTAAAGTGACGCAACCAAAATTCAAACTTGATCTGTGTTTTGTGGCAATAAGCATTGTGTATACGTTTCATAACATTTGGTTGAGGCAAACTAAAATAATAGAACATAACGAAAAATTCAGCAATTTTTCCATTTCCAAAGGGGCATAACTGTAGAACGGTAAAAGTAACGCCACTGAAATTAAAACTTGATCTGTGTTTTGTGGTAATAAGCATTGTGTATATGTTTCATAACATTTGGTTGAGGCAAACTAAAGTTCGAGAACGGAAACGAAAAATTCAGCAATTTTTCCATTTGTAAAGGGGCATAACTCTAGAACGGCAAAAGTGACGCCACCAAAATTCAGCATTGTGTTTACGTTTCATAACATTTGGTTGAGGCACACTAAAAAACGATAAATTCAGCAATTTTCCATTTGTAAAGGGGCATAACTCTAGAACGGTAAAAGTGATGCCACCAAAATTCAAATTTGATCTATGTTTTGTGGTAATAAGCATTGTGTATAAGTTTCATAACATTTGGTTGAGGCAAACTAAAGTTAGAGAACGGAAACCAATTTTGGGACGTACGTACGTATGTACGTACGTTCGTTCGTACATCCGTACATACAGACGGACAAGGGTAAAATTTAAAGCCCCCTCCCCTACAGCGGGGGCATAAAAACTGCTTTTAAAACTGAGAGTCCAATAAGATACAGTGATAATGTCCATGTGACATAAAAACTCTCGAGTATAAATTTCTCCTCTTATAGAATTGTTCCTTAATTCTGATTTTTGTGATAATTGAAGATTGTCCAAGATTTTTAGAATATCGTCATACATATTTAAAGGGGATCTTATATTCTGTGACTATTGAAAGAAAATTCTTCTCCCAGTAAAATAGGTATTAAAATGCAAAAATACAGCAATGATGTCCCTGCCTTAATTAAGTTGTGTTTATAAATACAATAATCCTTAACTCTAGTAAATAGCGATGTAGGAGTACAACTTGACATGGTTGTGTCCAAATATTTTAAGCCCCAGTGGTAGTTATATATGGATTACTACATTTATTGTTGATGTTCCTTCAAACTTCATCATACAAGTTTTGTAAAGTAAACAGAAGGTAAAAGAAATTGTAAATGTTGATAAAACAGAATTCTAATGCAATTCATTTGTAACGATAATTTTCATTGGACGTTATATTTTGAAGGGTTAGATTCCACGTTCTAGCAGTCCGTAACTAAGAAAGCCACCATTTTGAATTCCGATTCTTTTTTGGTATGTAATTTCTCAAAAACTAAACATAAAAGTCACATTTTGTGTCTCAAAATCTTCATTTTGTAAATATGGAAACCATTCAGAAGCGTACGAATATCATAAATACTTCTAGTGTGTATCTTTGACATCGGGAGTATACATATGACGTCACATTATTTAGATACCAAAGACGATGCAACAGTTTCGCGGACTTTTTCATTTAAGGCATATTAAGATAAAATATTTATTAAATGGAATTTATTTTAATATGTGGCATTACAATGGAGATAAATGTTGTATTTTAAGCTTGGCTACACGTCGCTAGGTAAACTCCATTTGCGACAGTAAAATCTAAGTACATATGACGTCACATTATTTAGATACCAAAGACGATGCAACAGTTTCGCTGACTTTTTCATTTAAGGCATATTAAGATAAAATATTTATTAAATGTAATTTATTTTAATATGTGGCATTACAATGGAGATAAATGTTGTATTTTAAGCTTGGCTACACGTCGCTAGGTAAACTCAATTTGCGACAGTAAAATCTAAGTTTTACGAAGGCCAAGCTCAAAATACAATACAGTTATCTCCTAAATGTACATGGTAATTCTATATCCATTTATCAACTGTTCTTAGGTTCATTGAGAATGTGAGACAGATAACACACTACTGTAAACCAACAAATTTTCGTGAGGAAAAAATAATGCGAATATAAATCGCCGTGAATATGTCAAACTTGGATCTTTCCATATTTAATAAATTTAACATCATGTAAATTTGAAAATCCTGATATTAAATTGCTGCGAAGTGGGCTAGATAGGCTTAAAAGCCAAAATAATGTGCCCTCAAAAATAAGTTGGTTTACAGTAATTGAAAATTCTATTCATCATAAATGCTTTTTCTTTTATGTTATGACAAAAGTAACTTTTACAACATAACTAGAGGCTCCGAAGAGCCTGTGTCGTTCACCATGGTCTATGTGCATATTCTACAAAGGACACTCTCCAACATTGAAGATGACATAGAATTCATGACAAAAATCTCTGTTTTGTTGATCTTGTATTGTTGATCATTTAGTCTGTTTAGTGTCCCTCTTAATCTTCTTTAGTTTTTGCTCAACACAAAAGAGGGTTAAAAAAATCCTCATTTTAGGGTAATCACTCCTATAAAGAGTGAGAGTCTACTAACTATAATGGCAAAATTTGACTTGTTAGTAGATCTTGCCTTGCTGATCATTTTTGTGATTTAAAGTGTCTATTTATCTATTATAATTTTTATCATATAAGGCAAAACGCCAAAAAAAAATGGTGAAAATCATCATTAAAGGAAAATAACTCCAATAAGGATTATTTATAGAACTTGTCTTGCTGATCATTTTTGCAATTTATAGTTTCTCTCTTTCTATTATAATTTTTAAGATATAAGGCAAAAACGCAAAAAATTAGTAAAAATCATCATCAAAGGGCAATAACTCTAATAAAGAGCCAACTAACGATTTCGACCACGGAGATTTATTTGTAGAAATTGTCTTCCTGATCATATATGCAATTTAAAGTTTCTCTCTATCTATTATAGTTTTCAAGATAGTAGGCAAAAAAGAAAAAAAAAAAGGCAAAATTAGTCATCTAAGGGCAATAACTCCTATAAGAAGTCGTTTGACAGTTTTGATGTATCTAAACAATTGGTAGAGCTCATAATTCTGAACATTTCTGCCTTGTCAGTTTTTCTCTATATACATGTACAATGATTTTCAAAATAATAGACAAAACTTGCATTTTCCCCCTATGTTCTATATTTTAGCCACGTCAGCCATCTTGTTTGGCAGGCAGGGTCATTGGACAAATTTTTTAAACCAATTACCCCAATGATGATTGTGGCCAAGTTTGGTTAAATTTGGCCCAGTAGTTTCAGAGAAGATTTTTGTAAAAGTTAACGCCAAGTGATGAGAAAA